ACACCTTCACCAAGCTGAGGGGAGAGCTGGCTGATGATGAGAACCGACCAGGTGATGACTAAGGTCAGCCAGACAGCCAGCAAGTACAAGAGGGAGAGCAAGGCGAGGGCCAAGGGGAAGGAGCTGTTGATGTTCGTGACCAGTATGGGCTGTGCCTTATGGGAGCCGAGTCTACCACAGGCTGGGTGACAGCCGTTCCGGTGCTCGAGAAGGGGGCGAACTCCTTGAAGCGCGTCACCGAGCACCTCGTGAGACTCAGCATGCAGGTCTCCCCCGGTGGCACCGTGGTCTTTCAGAGCGACACGGAGCCCTCAGCCAAGCAAGTGGTGAACGCGGTGTGCGCCTGCCGTGCAAAGCTTGGGTTGAAGACGGACACAAGATGGATCGTGAAGGCAAGCCATGGGTCGAACGGGCAGGTTGAGAAGGGCCTGGACACTATCAGGCGCAATGCTCTGACTCTGAAGGCCTTTGTTGAGGACCGGGTGCAGGGACGCATCGAAGGACATTGCCACGTGTACTCATGGTTCCTGCGTCACGCGGCCTTCCTTCACAACCGCTTTGCTGTTGGGTCCCGCGGCTCCACGCCGTATGAAATCCTGCACGGGCGGAAGTATCGAGGTGCTTTGGTTCCCTTCTGTGAGCAGGTGATCTTCCACAAACCCTCGCGCCACAAGGGTGACCTACAATGGTGCAGGGGAGTTTGGCTTGGAGTTAACGAAAGGAACAACGCCCACATCCTGGGCACAGCTGACGGGACCTACGAAAGCAGGAGCATTCGCCGCCTGCCGGAGGACCAGAAGTGGAGTCTCAGCGCCGTCCTTGGAGTGCAAGGTTTCCCGTGGAGCTATATGGGAAAGACTCGGAGGAGAAGACCCCTTTACACTGGTGCAAGAGCTAGTGTTCCACTCTTGGCTGACAACGCTTCTTTGCAAGAGCTGGCCAAGGCGGCCGGCCGAGCGGCTGCTGAGTCAATCGCGGCAGGAACTCCAAAGCCCAACCTCGATGAGGCAGCCTCCGACCCGAGTTCTACCTCTACCTCTTCCTCTTCGGGGTCCCCAAGGGCAGCATCCAGCAGCCAACGGCAGCAAGAGCAACGTGATCTACCACAACCGTCAGGCCCACCAGAAGGCGGCACAGAGCCAGCCGGTGTTGAAGTTAGAAGTGGCAGCCAGCAGCCACAGCAAGAGCGACGTGATCTACCACAACCGTCTGGCAATGATGTTTCTAGCTTCAGCCGCTCAGGTCCACAGGTGCCAGTGGCAATGGACACTACCAGCAGGTCGGATGGGCACCAAGGTTCGAGGCCAGAGCCGGAGGGAGAAGTGAACCCCAAGAGGCCGCGTCTTCTACTTGATCGACCGCGACCTGGTGAACCTGGCTCCAGCCCCGCAGCTAGCTCTCCGCAGAGTGGCCTTTACCCCCCAGGGTTTGCTGGGATACGTGCAGTTACGGGGGACATCTCCAATGAGGAGCTAGCCGACTTCGACAACTGGTCCCCGGATGTGCTGGAGACCATGGAGGAGGAAAGCGAGCTTGCAGGTGAGTACTTTGAGAGCGTCTGGACCGAAGATGGCGACCACCCACCAGAGCTCAACGAGGTCGACCTGGCAAAGGTCGATGCCGAAGCGGACGCCATAGAGATCAAGCGGCTGATGGACATGGGGGTCATGAGATGGCCCAAGGAGGGCGAGCGAGTCGAGGAGTACCAAAGCCTGACAACCAAGGTCGTTCGCGATTGGCGCCGGCGGCCTACGTGGAAGCGGCGCAGCCGCTTGGTGGGAAGGGAGTTCAAGACCCTTTCCCCATACTCCCAGGAGCTCTTCGCCCCAGCCAGCACTTTGTCGGCGATCCACGGCTTCATGGCGGTGGCCCTTAGCCGTGACCAAGAGCTCTGCACCTTTGACTTTAAAGATGCGTACCTCCAGGTGGACCAGCCGGTGCCAATGACGATTGAGGTGAACGCCGCCATGTTCGGCAACGGCGCAGTGGGCATGGTGACGCTGGTCCTGGAGAAGTTGTTGCCTGGCCAAAGGATCGGAGCCAGCGCGTGGTACAATTTCGCGAAGAATCTTTTGCACAAGGGAAGTTACACAAACTTTCCCAAAGAGCCCACCCTCTTCAAGAAGGAGGGTCCCAGCACCAAGGCGGGGCTCATTCTCCACGCCGACGATGGGCTGATGGCTTCAACTCGGGAGGAGCGCGAAGAACTCAAGAAGATCCTGACCGAGAAGGTGCAAGTGGAGTTCTCAGAGCCAATGGTGGCAGTGGGGGACGAGTTGAGCTTCCTCAAGAGGAAGTACATCATGATGGAAGCTGGCATTGCGGTCTACTCCAACGGCCGCTATCTGGAAGCTTTGCTTAAGAGCCTGGGCAAGGAGCTCAAAGGTCGCGATGCTCCCTCCGACGCTTCCTTCCTAGATGTTGACAACAGCGGAGATTTGGGCCCAAAGGAAGCCAGGGAGTACCGGGAGGCAGTGGGACGTCTTCTCTACCTCTCCCACACCAGGCCTGACATCCAATTCCCGGTGTGCATCCTTAGCTCCAAGATGTCGTCCCCTAGCAAGGCCGGACAAAAGTGGTTGAAGAGAGTTGTGGGCTACTTGGCCCAAACCCCGGAGATCGGCTTTGTGATCAAGGCGGTGGCCAATGGGAGGACCTTCGACTTTGAAGGCCATGGCCCTCTTGAGGCAGAGGGTTCCACCATCGTGGTGGAGTCGATCACGGACGCCGACTGGGCAGGCTGCCGGAGAACGAGAAAGAGCAGGACAGCCGCCCAGCTTTACGTCGGGGGCAGCTTGGTGGCTAGCTTTGTCAGGACCCAGCGCAGCATAGCCTTAAGCTCGGGGGAGAGCGAGTTCGTTGCATTGGTGGGCGGGTCGGCGGAGGCGATCTACCTCGCTGACTGCATCCGCTTCCTTGTTGGCAACGAGGTGACCGTTGAGACCCGGGCAAGAACAGACAGCGCGGCCTGCAAAGGCATAAGCCAGCGGCTGGGATGCGGACGCATCCGGCATCTCCAGTGTGGGTTGCTCTGGGTGCAGCAGGCGGTGAAGGAAGGCGTTCTGGCCGTTTCCAGCATCCCCGGCACGGAGAACCCCAGTGACCTGGGAACGAAGCCCCTCGGTGGACCGAGGGTGAGGGAACTGTTGTTCTCTATGGGCGCTGTGCTCCCCGATGGTGAGCCCTACGGGAAAGAAGACAAGCAGCGAGCAGTTGAGCGCAGGGCCGTGGCAAAGATGCTCAAGGAGTGCAAAAGCAGTGCCAATGTCGACTCAGTGGCAAGGATTGGGAGCCTCATGCCGATCCTGCTGTTGATGGCCCAGATCCAAGGGAGTCAGGGCTTGAGCTTGGCTGCGCCTTTGGCGCTGTTTTGGGACAGCGACCTGATGTACAACTTGATGGCCGCAGCAGGGATTGGCCTGGTGACTTTGGTGATTTTTCTGGGTGTACCCTTTGCCGTGCTGGAGTTCCTTAAGTGGTGCTTTGGCAGGGCGTTCCGCGAGACCAAGGTGCCAGAGAAGGTGGTGGCCAACACCTGTGTGCAGACGGACCCACCACCGCTTCCCAAACCAGTTCCTTTCAAGGTTGAAAAGGATAGAGCCCAGAAGCACGCCGACGAGATTCGGCGACACGAGAAGTTTGCTGAGGAGTATGTGAATCGGTGTACAGACCTCCAGCAGTTACTGAGCGAAAGGTGCCGTGAAATCCGTGAAATGGAGAGGGCGCTCGGTGACTTGCGGAGGGAAAATAGGGACTTGCTTGCGAGAGTTGAAACACTCTCGAGGGAACGACACCCGCCCGAGATTTGCGTGGCGGTGTCTCGCGGAGAGAGGTACCATCGTCCTGGGTGCGGCAACATCAGAAATTCTTCGAATGTGCAGAGGTTTTCCCCGTGCCAAGCCTGCCTAGGACGAGGGTGATCCCAGAAATTTGTATAGATTTTGGCGAGCGGTGGACCTGCTGCTGAAAAGCAGGTGCCACCGAGGCGGGGTGATAGAACTGATCCCTGCCCTTTGTACACACCGAATGACGCAGCCCTGAGTGCTTGGAAAATCTTTCAAATTGTGAAGGCTGCTAGATTCGCTAGATTATTTACGCAAGCAAAGCTGGGGGGCAGGGGCATGGGGAGGGGACCTACAGCCGTCAATCGGGCTATAGACACTGGTAAGCCTCCGGGTGAATTCTTGAATTCAAAGCTGTCGAGCCACTGCAAGCTGCAAGGATCCAGCTTGAGGAAAGTTGCGGACGCTCCGCAGACAAAGTGAAGCTTCAGGACCCGTGACGCAATCGACATAGCACGATGTTTATTGTTTTTAGTTATGACTATTGTGGTGTTTTGTTTGATCATGGATGCGGTTGCTTTGAGGGCTGCAGCGAGTGGACAGTAGGTGGGCAAACAAGCAGGCATATCTGCACGCACATGACACGTCTGACACGCCATGGGATCAAACTATGTCGCCCTTCTCCATCACGTACCCTAGCCTGACTTTTTCTTAAACCCCTAGACCCCCCAAATTCCCCAAGTCTCAGACCCTGAGCCCTAGAGCCTGCAGGACGTGATTGAGGAGAAGGGCTTCCCCTTGTGCGTCTCCGTGAACGATGTGCCTGGGATCCTGAGAAGTTCAAGCTCAGGTGCAGTCAGGTGTAGTCTTTCAGGTTTCAGGTTTCGGATCTAGGGCTTTGGGGTGTCAGGGTTTGGAGCAGAGAAGTTGAGGATATAGTGCAAGGGCTTGATGCAGGGGTGAGGCCACCTGTGGCGCCGGCACCTGGTGCTGATCATGACAGCAGTCATGGCTGGTAGCCTGCTTTTTGTGACCTGCTTTGCACGATCCTTGTCAACGTTACTACTTGAGGTCAGGGATGACTTGAGTAGGTGTCTCGAAGCTGGTGAACCTCTCGCTTCAGGGGAGCAGCTGAAGTCTAAACCCTTCCACTGCCCCAGGCACTCCAAATCATGTCTGTCACGGAAGCTTGACCTAAACCGCTTCAAAAAGGCCAAGATGGAGGGTGAGTCTCTCAACATCTTGAAGCATGGCTGGGGCTACACCTGCCCGGTCTCCACGGTCGGCATCTTCAACAAGTGCTACGAAGCGACTCGCCGGCGGAACGCTTCCGCCTCTTTCTTGGCCCTATGGGCTTTGGTTCTGATTCGCCGACAGAGTGAATGTTGGCCTGCGGTTTGCATACATGTAGGTATGTGTGTATATCTATATACTTTCACGTTTAGTTGTTTATTCGTTGGACAAGTTATGTAGCTACACATATACACACACGTTTTGAAGACACTTGGAGACAGCTCGATTTAAAAGAGACAGAGGAGTCGTTGTTTGACATCATGGGCACGCGATGATGAATGCTTGCAAGACAGGTGAAGTGCGAGAAGAAGTCTGCGAAGGAAATGGGCCAGCATGTGATGGATGGACTCTCCCACCATGCGGGCAACCTCATGGGTGCCCTCTCTGGCGCTTTGACGGGCGACGACCAGAAGGAGAAGAAGATGTTCAAGGAGGCAGCTCCGACAGGGCTGTAGAAGACGAGCATGACCTTCCCCCGACGCCCCAACCACAGACATCCCCAAAAGCTACAACCACGGTTCTCCCCAATGCTCGGGACCAACAGTGGCACACGGGACATGATAGGGTTGTTGTATTGTTGGGTCACTATAAGGGTCAATGTGGGCATGTTGTTGACGGGCTTGCGAGCGTGGCTGAAGATGTTGAGGAGGATGCGTGACCCGAAACCGTAAACGTGAGAACATCACAACCCCAAACCTGGAGCTCCAAGAAATCACAAAAAGTAGATCTCCTCTGAACCTGAAACCTTGACGCGTTTTTCAGAGTTCGCCCTGTAGTGTAGATTTTTCCAGATCGGATTAAAATTGCCCGAGCCGTCAGCACTGTTGGACCCACAGGCATTTCCAAGGGCTTAGGGCGGTTTTCTTCGCGGGTCTTAATAAGGACCCCCAGGTATACACCCTTAATTTGGCTATTATATACCCATTATATAGCCCATTATAGGGTAGGGGTCCCCATTAAGGGTCCCTCCTTGTCCCCTTTGAAGAAAGTGCAAGCCCCACGTTTCTATGAAAACCAAACCCAGATCGAGAGCCTCGGCACCAAACCCGCAACAACTCCGGCCGGGCAATGTGCACCATACTAAACCCAGACCCTGAAACCTCTGGAAAGGCAGATCCATTTAGCCCAATCCCTTGGAAGGAACCTAAGGAAACGAGGGCAAGCTTTGGAGACCGGACCCCGAAGCCTCAGTCTGATCATGAAGGCCCCTTAATACTCCAGCCTAAAAGGTTGCAGGAGCACCCCAAGAAGAAACGGCCCTAAATCTTAAACCCAAAACCCTAAACCCTGAGCCGGAATTTAAACACCTGAACCCACAGGAGGACAAGCCCGACATGGACCTGGGCGCAACAGCAAAGAGTGCCTGGGCTTCGATGCTCAGCGACGACAAGGCCTCTGGTCGGCGATCAAGAAAGCTCTCAGGGACGGTCTGAGGGTCTCAAAGTTTAGAGTGTTGGGGTCCTTTTTTCGCCGGGTGTCAGGGTTTGGGGTCTTAAAGGGTCTTTGGGTTCCAGGGCTTTAGGGTTTAGGAGCTCAGGGGAGGTATCGGTGTTCTCGAGCTGTGTGCGGGTCATGTAAAGGTTGCATAGGCTTAGGGTGTTTAGCGGGAGTTCAAAGGTTTTGTGCGAGTCTCAGTCAGGGGATTTCGAGTTGTATCGAGCTCTATGGGGGTCTTGTCTTTCAAAGATAGCAGTCCATTCAATGTTGATGTCTCTGCGAAGCCAGAAGCCCTCCAGGAAGCGGGATTTCGGTTTCGGGTCTTGATGACTGGCAGTGGTAGTCTTCAAAAGCCAAGTTCCCCTAGGCCCTAAACCCTTTCAGCCCCGGCATCGCCCAGGAAAAGGATGTTTGCGTTGGCGGCCGCAAGGTGCACGTGTGGAAGGTCACCGAATGATTTCCCAGTTTGAAGGAGAACTTTGCTTGCTCATCCCAACAAGCAACAGGCACGAAGCGGCCACGGAGATATGTGTATTCGGGAGCAGAAGGTTTGAGCGTAAAAGCTTCTGTCCGAAAACACTAGGGGCGTCTTGAGCTTGTATTGCTTCGGCTTCTTCGTGCAGCTTCCTGTGCATAAAAAGTGCAGGGAGCATAATTCAGATGTTGGGCATTGGCCGCTGCATGGCACACTGACGAGATGGGTTCGCCTACACTTCACAGCGCAAGTCGGAGTTCCCACTTTCCTCAAGTCTGTGTTGACAGCTCACCTGAAGTTTTCACCGCAACAGCCCTCAACGCTCTGCAGTTCCGCCGTTCCCGACACGAAAGAAGACCCAAGCACAAACCTCTAGACTCCTCAGACCCTGAAGCCCCGGCTCTGAAGTGCCACGCAAGTGGCAGAGGCCTCTGTTTAATCAGAGGCAGCGCTGAGCAGGCACGGGTTCCTTGGTACTTCCACAGTGCACACATCGCTGCAGGGGGTGCCAGGGAGCTCGGTCGCCGGTCGCCAGACTTGTTTCAGCTCATCCTCTGATGGAGAAATGTGGAGCCAGTGCGAGCCTTCCCCAGGGATTTTCTCAGCAAGGCACTCCGAACAGTATTTGGCTTCTGTCGTAGTGAGTAATGAGTTCTCGGGGCATTGGGGGTCTGGAATGTTTGGCAGCATCGAGTCTAGCCCATGTGCGGGGAGAGTTTAGGAGGGTTTGCAGATGTTTTTACAGCATCTTGTGGCGGCCTAGACCCTGAACCCCGTGCGCCTGACTCGGCCCTCACGATACGGCCGCGGCGAACAATACAAATGAGCATGGGCCTTGCGAGACAGCACTTTAAGCCACTTGGCTTTCGAACCATACGTGAGAAAACCTGACCTCGCTGAGAGCCAAAGCTCCTTGCGCGCGAAATGAGCTGCTCCCCTCCCCCAACCAGACTCATGAGATTCGGTCGGCTTTACAATCACAGCTGCTATCACTACGACTTGCTCTTGCGACGATGACTCGCGTTAATTACAAGTGGGATCGTTCTTCTTATGGTCTATGGAGAGAGTGTGGCCAGGGTGGCCAGGGGAACAGAAGCACTAATCAGCGGGCATGTTCTTTGTAGAGTCCCACAAGACCCGCCCTGGCAGAAAACTGCATAAACCTGAGATTACACGAAACCGAAAAGTCTTCCGAAAGTTTCATGAACATCTTCAAGAGCAGCGCAGCTCTCCCGTCATCCTCCCGAAGCCCCCCCTGAGAACCACTGGCAGTTGCGAGAAAACCGGGTTATTGTTACAAGAATTGTATGTTTCATTGATCACCAGATGTTCATACACGGTTTTTGCATGATTGCTGCATGCTGCTATTCACTATCATCATAATTGTTACCACTATGCTTGTCGTATCAAGGTTGGCGCTTTCTGAAGCTGGAGGGGCCAGGGGCCCTGGCAGGCCTAGTCTGTACAGGGCGTTGGCTTCATCCAGCTGTGATGGCAGTCGGTGTAGCCGGTGCCCATCGTTGAAGGGCTAACAAGTCTTGGAACTTGCTTGAGGTGTGTTTACGAACTCAGTAGGGCCAGGCAACGTGTCGAGCTTGGGGTTCTTTGGTGCTGAAGGAAAAGAGTTTTCTGCTGCGGTGGTCAAGCACCACATGCGGATTCTGTGACAGCACACCTCCATGCCCAGAAACCGTCTAGCCCAAGCTGTATTTCCCAAGCCCTGAGCTCGGGCTGCAGTTTGAAAGAATTTTTTCTGTGTCTAAGGCCGAAACCCCAAACTGCTCCAAACGTCGCTGCGAGGCTCTTCGCACCCTCGGGGTGACTGGGAGTTGCCGGCAGAAAAAAGGGAAGGGCGCCGGGCGGGGTTCAGGTTTCTCGTAGTCGCCACTCGTGGCAACTGTGGCAGCATCCTTCTTTGCCATTCAATCGTATCGGTTTTTGCCGAAACGACTACGGATGAGGTGATTCAGAAGCACAGCACATTTTAAGAATTGCGCTTCATTTCGAGAACTGAAGGTAAGCAGTTGCCGGATGCCGGCTTGGTGGTCGAAGGAACGCAGTGTTGCGACACATCAAGCAAACTTCTAGTGAGCCTCGAAGTATGCTTCAGGTGCAGATCGGGCTACGGCGTTCAAGCTGGAAGAGTTTGCTTCGGATTCGTGGTCTTTGAAGGTTTGGTGTTGAAGGGTGTGATGAGGCTGCAGGTTGTCACGACGGCGCTTCGCATGCGTTCACAGGGTTGCATGCACACATACGAGCACACCCTGACAGACCTTCTCACCCTGACTGCCAGTCACGCCGTAGATGCTGGCCCAAACACTTGGGCCGCCGCCTGTGGAGCTTTACCCGCCAGATGACCTGCAGCGATGCACAGGAGTCGCGCGAAAGGCCGTACGGTGATCCTGCTTTTGATCTTCCAGCTGGTGCCAGATCCGCTGTACCTCAGGTGGCCCTGCGAGTTTGTTGATTTGCAGCATCATCATTTCGGATTTCGACGGCATCCGCGGCCAAAAGTCGTCAACAACATAAGGTTCACAGTGGCATTCCATAAAGCCTTCATTGGTCGCACTAGAGAGAAAAGACGGTTATTGAAGGATATCAGTGACACGCAAGTTTCTGCAGTGTGCATTCTGGGGAAGCCTGGCATTGGCAAGACCCGATTTGCAATCGAAGCCGTGCAGGACGCCAAAGCTGATGTGAAGTGGCTCATTACCGCCGACTCGCGCGTGGCAGTGAAGCAAGGCCTAATGAACCTCGCCGTGGAAATGGAGCTGTCAGATCCCTTGATACATGACGGAGACAAGCTAGCTTTGGATTGGCTGGCGAACGCAGAGGGCTGGATTCTTGTTTTGGACAATGTCCAGTCCTTCGATGACTTGACCGACCTCTTGCCTGCCCGTCATCGGGGGACCATCGTTGCCACGGCCGCCCACCGATTCGTTTGCCCTTCCGAGGTCAACAGCATTTCTCTAAGGCCGTTGGGGAAGCGAGAAGCTTCAGAACTGCTACAGAAGCACGCCCACCGGAAAGACGACTCTGGAGCTCGTAAGCTGGCCTCAGTTTTGGCTGGATTTCCGGTGGCCCTGGTGCAGGCAGCCAGTCTCGTATCTGCAAGCAACCTGGGTTTCGAGCCTTTCGCGCAACAGTTTCCCAGACTCCAGATCAGTCCCGTGGCAAGAGTTCCATTGGTGATGGAGCGCAGGTATCGAATCATTGGGAGGGTGCTTTGGCAGAAGCAGAGAGAATTTCTCGAGAATGAAGGTCTTGCTGCCTCGATTTGCTTAGTGCAGTTCATGTCGACACTTAGCCCGAAAGGGGTGTCCAAGCGGCTCCTTGCGCGCCTAACAGGATTTGATGACGGCAAGTATCAGGAAGCAGTATCTCCACTGAACTCACTCTCCATAGTGCGCATGGACTCAAGTGGATCTTCCTGCCGCCTTCACTGGCTATCTCAGCATGGCATTCTGGCAGAGTTGGTGCAAAACGGGAACGCCAGCATGCTGCAAACAGTTTTAGAGGGGCTCATGCAGCCAGTTGGAAAGCAATGGTGGTACCCGGCATCATTTTATCGAGTTTCGAAGGTGGTGTTCGAGCATGGCAAATTCCTGCTGAACAACTGGCACTTGAAGTTGTTGAGTGCGAAAGCACGGCATTCGGACAAGCTGGCCAACCTAACCTGCCAAGCAAGGGTAGCAGTTGGTGGATATGCTTATTACAATCTGGCTGATGCAAGGTTGGGACGGCAGTGGATGCAGAAGGAGATTGCGCGATGGCCAAGCGATAGCTTGCAGCACGGGGTTTGTTCCGCTTTGTTAGCTTTGGTGACATCTGACTCTGACAGGAAAGCCAGTCGAAGGTTTGATGAGTTTGCAGTCGATACCGTAACACGCATCAGAGATGATTCGGAGCATGATGAGACCTTGGCTGTTTACGTGTATGTTTTAGCGAACAGCTTGAGACTGGCTGCTGGAGACCGTGTGGATGCTTCGCGACAGCAGCGACGAGTGGACGAACTGAAAGACCACATCACGCAGCTAGAGCCTGAACCACGAGCACATGTGCACTGCTCCTTGGGCAGATGGTATCAGTACCGAGAAGAGCTGGATTTGGCGCTGCGCCATACGCGTGCATGTCGCAGGATCCTTCGTGCACATCCTCTGGCGAAGGTGGCAGAAAGCTCCATGGAGCTGAGCATCGCCTACACATCAGAGAGGCTGGCCGCACTTTTTTTGGCATTTGGCCAGTTCCGTAAGGCAATTCGCCGTGCGCGCGAGGCCTCGCTCCTATTCGAGCTTGTGTTTGGCCCAAACCACCGCCGAAGAGCACGCTCGCTTGTCAGTTTGGGGCTTGCGGCCGCGGAAGTACATGGCCCGGACAAGGGCTTACCACACTGCCAGCGAGCATTGAAAATTCTGCAGGATCAAGCGGATGACACAACCGCTACAGCGAAAGCCCTCTTGTGCAGGGGAAAGTTCTCCCGGCCCGAAGCGGATCCCTGCAGAGATCTAGCTATGGCACAAAAGCTTTTTGAGCAAATAAACGGAGCAGAGCACCTCGACACGGTGCAGTGCCGTATCGAGCATGCAAGGTGTATGTTGGACCGATTTGACCAAACTAGACAGGTGGAGCAGCTCGTGCAGAAAGACTTCGAAAGATTGGAAAATCGGAACGAAACGTTGCCACGATTCTTCCAAAGACAGCTGCTCGTTTTGCATGCCGACATCTGGAGGAATAGAGCCAACCAGGCTACGGCGAAGGCCGAGCAGTACTGGCAGAGAGCTGATGCACTTCGTCCCAGCACAATTTTACGGTCCATCTTGGGCATCGTCAGCACTGTCACTTCGGCACTCGCTTGTGCAGCATGCCTGCCAACTGCAGCTTTCCGCTTCAAGCGACCGAGTGCGAAGCCACCGGCTCTGGTCGTTGCAAACTCGCACTATGTCGGCTATCATCAGTTACCAGCTGCATGCAACGATGGTGAAGCGGTGCGAGCCCTTTTTGCAGATGCTGGGTACGACGTAATTCATATGAGAAATGCAACCCTGGACGACATGAACTCTCTTGTAAAGCAACTGTTACAGCATCTGTCGGAGAAAGAACATGCCTTGGTTCCCATCTACCTGTCCGGTCATGGGATTGAGCACCACGGCCTGTTGTACTTTGCGCCCGTCGATGCCGAGAAGGCGAGGCTGTCGTCCCACCTTCTGCTCAACAGCCTACAGCTCTCGCACTTGCCCAGGGTGGCACAGCAGCACAGCGCAGAGCCAACAAAGTCAGTGCTGTTCTTCTTCTTCCTTGACATCTGTCGCACGGATGTCCAGCTGGACGGCGGCAGCATGGAACCTGAGCAATCCCTGCTTCGTCCCAGCAAAGCTCCGGGCGTGGTCTACTTCAAGGCCTGTGCTCGTGGCAAGCGAGCTTTCGACGAAGGCAAAGCACAAGGAAAAGGACGCGGGTCAGATGGTGGAAATGGAAGCGTGCACGGGCGCTTCACTCGCGCCCTCCTGGATTTCGGCCAGGATTCCCGCTTGACCTTGGGCGCGCTTTCAGAGCGTGTGGGTTTGGATGTAAAGATGAAGAGCGGGGGGTGGCAGGTGCCCGAAGTTGATGGACCTCAGGATAGGATGGGGGAGTTTCTCCATACCCGTGCTGCTCGCCACGAGCGCGGCCGAGCTTCGTGCACTCTTTGCTGAAGAAAAGCTGTCAAACGCAGACCTAAATTGCACAATTATAGAGTTGAAGACCGCCAGGCGTCTTCTCATCGACAGGTCCCCTACCAACCGAGAGTCGTTGTTGTGATCATCTGCAGCTACTGTCGTGCCACCCTTGCTTATGGTATGGATTCAGTTCGCATGCAGCACAGACTGGCGTGCTGAAAAGCCGACAAAGCGGCACAAAGCAGCCATGCATCAAAGTCCGGAGATCCAGTAGCTCAAGACGTAGCATGTCCGTGACACCCGCTTTGCCCAGCAAACCCTTTAACCCTTTGCCATACTTCTAAGCTTTTGGCTTCGAGCTCTTGTGGCGTGGCAGCTTTGTATCCGCACTGCAGTTGCCATGGAGGTCCAGCCGGAAACTCGGCAGAGGGCATGCCACGTGCCAGGTGGCCCCCTGATCTCTCCGGGCAAAGGAGGGGTTTAGAAGCCCGTTTACATGACTGGGCTCCAGTCGCTTTGATGCCTCGGAAGCTTTTCCTGGATCCCGAGGCTACCAAGCACCCAGAGCGTCGAAGCGCGTCTCAGCCGTCCCCTGGGAAGAGGAAGCCGCAGGGGTGGGGAGTCAGGGTACTCAGGTGCTCTCCAGCCACTGCTCGTTTACTGTTGGGCAAGGTGCAACAAAGCAGATAGCCAGAATCTAGCTGCCTATCTTGAGGTAGGCCGTATTTACGAGTTCGGTTCGGAAAGCCCGCTGGGTAACCTGTTGACCTACCAACCTAACTCGGACCCTGCATGTCTACAGGACCAAGGAAGACGACGCCGCCGGTCGCCGCCAGGGGTCAGGCAGGCAAACCCAGAGGGTCTCAACATGGGACTGACTAAAATCTGGATTTCCGCTTCGGCACGTTTCGATACTTTGGATTTTGGGCTCTTGCTTTCGGCACTGACCAAGTATCAGTAGCGCAAGGCAGCAATTCGCTGCGACACAGAGCAACGATGACATCTGCAATGGTTATAGTCATCAACTACAGGCAGTGGCTCCAGCTCTTTTCCGGTTCAAGATATTTTAGGGCTACTGTCGGAACCACATGGTCCAAAAGAGTGCTTTCCATGCATCTGTCGAAGCCTCCTGCCGAGGATGGCTCTGCCGTTCCTCTAGCTGCTCCCGAGGACCGAAGCTAGGAACAAGAGCTGTTGTTCCCAAAAATACAAATAGAATGTATACATATATATACACACAAAGACAGAGGTAGAGGCGAAGGAAGAGGTAGAGGTAGAGATCGATATAATATGTATATATATATATATGTATGTATGTATATAATATATAGATAGATGTTGATATACATAGATGTAGATGCAGATACGCTGCCTGGCTTCCCAGTCGGCAGAGCAGCAACTATGGCATTTCAGACTCGCTCTCTTTCCAGGGTCTCGCGGCTGGGGCAACGACGGTGGCGGCAGCCTTGGTTTGGACCCCAGCGTTCCCCTTCTGGGCCTTGCAAGGATTTTGGGCAAACGGGAATCTTTTACGGTTCCGCGACGAGGCAAGGAATGCAGGCGATGAATAAGCATGATTCCCGCAACAGCACCCTGAGCCAGACCGGGGCTCAAGAAATTCATTCCTCGCTTGAAGCAACTTGGATGTCTAATGTGCCCTGAATCTGAAGCCTTAACCGGTGACCGGCCCTAGCCCAAAGGTCTCTAAGCCAGTAAACCCGGAAGCCGAGTAGGGGCCGAAGTCTCCGGGAGCCGAACGCGCGTCTCGAGGCCATTCGCTCTAAAGTGCGCCGGCGGGCGCACGGAGCCAAGTCCGGGCGCCACTTTGTCGCAGCAGCCGCCACACCGGGCACCGTGTCGGCACCTACGGCCTTGCAGGCACAGAGAGGGCCCTGCACCTCAATTCCAATAGGTTGCTAAATGTGTCGCCTGGTTGCTTCATGTGTCGAGCTTGTATAAGCGTCTATTTCGACAGGCACTGCAATGTCGCCCACTTCATTCACGATTTGCCCACACGAACTGGTGCGTCTGTACCCTGCAGAACTCCAAAGCCACTGAAAGTATGTTCGGCCGGCGGTGATCCAGATACCTAAGCCTTCCTGCTTAGCATGTCCCGCCTTTTTCTAGATTCAACTGTATCTGAGAATCGATGTTCCCACCGTCTTGCAGGGACCGCATCGAGCAGAGGAAGATGGCGAGGCCGACAGCCACCTGCGTTTTGGGTTTAGAAGGGACCCATCGTGAACATCCGGGGGGCTTTGCTTCTTTATTGCTACAGCGCTCAACGGAGTCAGCCGAAAAATCCCTAAACCTGCTCTCTTTGCAGGCGAAGGTCACTGCATCCTTGGGCGAGAAGTGGCAGATGCACGAAGAGCTGATGGACAAAGGCTTTGCCAGGCCTCAACACTGGATCCCTACACGCCGGCAAAGCCGAAAACTCTTAAATTCCGAGCACTGTTTACGATTAGCTGAGCTGGAGCGAAGCGGCTTGGCACCCGAAACCATGCGCTCCCGGTGAACCGTGGTCAGGCTCTCCGAGGTGCAAGCGAGCGGTTTGTTGGATCAGTGCATCAGGACCCGGTCTGAGCACGGAAGCCCTACAGGGCCAAAGCCCCCCAGCGCCACCATCTGGGAAGCTTTCAAAAAGTGCAGATGATTCTCCAGGACGTGATTAAGCGCTGCCGACAAATAAGACGCAAGCTTTTGGAACATCCCTGCGCATGAACAGCTCGAAGTCCTGTATGTTTCGCGTGAGATTTGACACTTCAGGGGGACATTTCTTTCCAGTTAGCAGGAGGTGCAAAGTGTGAGGGGCAGACCACGATTTGCCAGAGTTTATTTGCAGGATCTCCGAGCGCGTGCTCGGCAAGGTCATGGAGAGTGCCGACTGGAAGTATCGTCAACTGGACATGGAGAAGCCCAAGGCCCCCCCGCCCAGCTCTTCTTTGGTCTTCGGGAAAGGTGGCTTTCATCAACGGAAGCACACAACCGCACTCTGGATTATTGAAAGTCAGGTGAGCTTCTGGTACAAGCAGGTCGTAGGTTTTGCGTTTTGGAAGGAAGGCATGTTTGTGCCACTTTCAAGCCACTTTGCCACCTTTGTTCCAAGGTGGCCGGCATTCTGGCGACCCCAGGCATCCTCGAAATCTTCCACGGTGCAGGTGCGCGACTTCCAACTTCAAGCTTTGGGCTTTCAGATTGCAGTGGTCGCTCAGAGGAGCTTCGAAGTGCGTGGCAAGACAACGCCAATCAATCTCAGCTTGTCCTCCTGGCCCTCGGCTGATGGAATCCAGTCGATCAGGACCTTTTTGCTCGCTGCTCCCGCCCCTCCGTTCTGTGCGGTTGCTATGCATGCCTCGTCTGGGAAAGATGCCGGCTGATGTGACCACGAATTCCCCAGCTCCACAGATAATTGCTTCACACGTCTATTGCCAGTGCTTCCAGGTTGGATGGAGGAAGGTGATTGGCTGGTGCTGCCAGAAGGCACTCCTTTCGAGCCAGAGCCTCAAACCGGAAAGCAGAGCTGTACAAGCCTGGACAGTGGACTGGATGGCCATGCAGAGTGAAGCCCGAACGTTAAGCCCTGAGCCCTGAAACCCGAAAGGCCCAAAAACAACAACTACGTCGCTCATCGCAAGGCTTGCGCAGCGTGCCGTTGACGGTTTGCAGAGAGAGCAACGGCGTCGTGCCACTGTGGGATTCCCAGCACACTCCCATTGCTTATCCTCGAAGTCACTTGACCATTCTGAACTCCTCCTAAGCTAAGCGGCTGAGCTTTTCTAAGCCAAGCCCTGCATCCGAAAGCCCACAAACCGCAGCCCACATCTCATGCGATGTGTGATTTCGAGGTCCAAAGCACAGCTGAGAATCCCAATGAGCTCGGGCCCTCGGAGTGACGGGGCTTTTGGGGTAGGGCTTAATGCTAGCATGTTAGGGTTTAGGGCCTTTAGGGTTTGAGGCTTAGCGCTTCAAAAATTTAGTGGGTCATGACCCTATCGGGGCCTCCATTAGTAATTCCCACGTTTCTTATTGTTATTCTGACAGAAATACGATGCCCCCCCAATTCCTGGGTGATGCAGGCGCTTGAAGGGAGTCGTGAGAGCCTGAGTGAGCAAAGTTTCTATCTGACCGAGGATGCACCGGGAGGTGCCGCGTAGTCATGTTTCGGCGGTCAACTGCTTGTGACTTCTCGCGAGAATTCGATTTCTTTATGATATAGACATAGAGTTACCGGTGTTCACAACGACCAGTTGACGGCCGGTAACGTGCAAACCGTACATGGAACATGAACACTGCAGACACCTGAATCCCGAAGCCTCGAAAAATTTTGGATGCCTCCGGGGAAGGATTTCATGAATCATAACTCTACATTCTGTTTGAGAGTGTTCCTCAAAGCTATCTGAGAATCTTTTTTTTCTCGAGGCGCCGTTTCAACCCCTGGGATGGAAAGGTATACACCTTCAAGGAGCAGTCCTTGTCCTGCGATGCTTTCCGTATGTGTGTGTATATATATATAGGTGTACATCAGTTTCTTTTGCTGTAAATCATGTACTTGTTTACATGGTTGCACAGATGTATATATGCATGTTCGCTCTTGTCTGTACTGTCACTCTCGTCTGCACAGCTTTTTCGCATGTGCATATGTTCCATTATGTATGTAAATAAATCTATGTACACATACAGATACACATGAACACTGCATATATGTGTGTATATCTATGTATGTATGCATGCATGTATGCATGTATGCATGTATGTATGTATGTATGTATGTATGTGTATGTACATACGCATATATATATATATATATGGTACCCCCACCAGGACCTACCTCCAAACCTGTCTGTCTACATATATGATACCACACTTCATTACCCATGCACACACATGCACACACATGCGCACACACGCACACACACACACACACACACACATGCAACATGGACCTTAGGGTATACGAAGATTAATGTATACAAACATGACTATACCAGAGACCCGGTTGCATTAAAACCCGCATTAAAAAAATAGATTTTAATGCAGCCCGGCCCATGGAACCAAGAACCAAGATGCCCAGGAGTCTTGAATCTTGGATCTTGGTTCCATGGGCGCCGGCCAGGCTGCATTAAAATCTGCATTAACAAATTAAATTTTAATGCAGCCCGGCCCGTGGAACCAAGAACCAAGATGCCCAGGAGTCTTGAATCTTGGATCTTGGTTCCATGGGCGCCGGCCAGGCTGCATTAAAATCTGCATTAACAAATTAAATTTTAATGCAGCCCGGCCCGTGGAACCAAGAACCAAGATGCCCAGGAGTCTTGAATCTTGGATCTTGGTTCCATGGGCGCCGGCCAGGCTGCATTAAAATCTGCATTAACAAATTAAATTTTAATGCAGCCCGGCCCGTGGAACCAAGAACCAAGATGCCCAGGAGTCTTGAATCTTGGATCTTGGTTCCATGGGCGCCGGCCAGGCTGCATTAAAATCTGCATTAACAAATTAAATTTTAATGCAGCCCGGCCCGTGGAACCAAGAACCAAGATGCCCAGGAGTCTTGAATCTTGGATCTTGGTTCCATGGGCGCCGGCCAGGCTGCATTAAAATCTGCATTAACAAATTAAATTTTAATGCAGCCCGGCCCGTGGAACCAAGAACCAAGATGCCCAGGAGTCTTGAATCTTGGATCTTGGTTCCATGGGCACCGGCCAGGCTGCATTAAAATCTACATTAAAAATTTAAATTTTAATGCAGCCCGGCCCGTGGAACCAAGAACCAAGAACCAAGATGCCCAAGTCTTGAACCTTGGATCTTGGTTCCGCGGGCACCGGCCTGGCTCCATTAAAAATCTGCGTTAAAGAATTTAAATTTTAATGCAGCCCGGCCCGTGGAACCAAGAACCAAGATGCCCAGGAGTCTTGAACCTTGGATTTTGGTTCCGCGGGCCCTGGCCGGGCTGCATTAAAATCTGCATTAAAAAATTACACTTTAATGCAGCCCGGCCCGTGGAACCAAGAACCAAGGTGCCCGGCTGCATTAAAATTTAATGCAGATTTTAATGCAACCCGGCCGGTGCCCGTGGAACCAAGATCCAAGGTTCAAGACTCCTGGGCATCTTGGTTCTTGGTTCTTGGTTCCACGGGCCGGGCTGCATTGAATTTTAAATTTTTTATGCGGGTCTTAATGCAGCCAGGCCGCTGGAAACCATGTAAATATTTGTGAAACATATCGGTTTGCCATTTTATGTGCCACATGGCCACTCCTGCAGTGAAGATTAGTGAATGGATTGCTGTGCTTGACAGTTTGATCCCATGACAAGAAATGTGTGATGACCCAAGCTGCATCTAATCAAAATCATGTGATCTTGTACTTCCAGATTCAGTCCTGTCCTTGTGAACATAAATACAATAAATACTGTACAGACAGGTTTAAAAATGGAACATCAGTCGGAGCCGAAGATTTGCGAATGTCCAGCTGAGTTATAGCTTCTTGAGTAACGGGTTCCCATGGTGGACATCAGGAACCTACTTGTAAACAAATATCCTTCAAAGTCCACTATAGAATCCCCCCTTATCCCCTCCAGGATTTCATAGAAAATGCTCAGGTCGTACCGTATAGAGTTTATAAAGTATATACTTTGTATAATATACCTTATGGAATACCCTGTATCTCATGAAACACCTTATAGAAATCTGTCCTATATCGTATACTCTAGATTTTTTTTACGTTACAGTTTGGGATACCGTATAAATACCGTATAGACTGCCACATAGAATACTTTGTTTGTCTCCTATATACCCTATATGAGCCTTTTAGAATACCATCTGGAATACTTTACAGAATGTATTGTAAACGCCCTATGGATGATACTCCCTTTATACCTTATACATGCCCTTGAGAACCCCCTTTGGGATACCCGGCAAAAGCCGTATAGACCAGGATTTACGTAAAGTAAATCAGAAGGAGCCCAAGCTTCTTGCAGCTTAGTGGGCAACGGACATTTATGCTTGTAAAGTACCATACAGAATACCCTTTTTACAAACCGTAAAGAAATTCATGTAGAATACGGTAATACCATATATAATGTTCCTATATTCCCTATACACCTTGTACACCCAAGATCTGAGAGTTCCCCAGTTGAATGTGGTTTATTTAGCAATGGGTTCATATCAAGGAATTGCGGAATATAAGACTTAGAAAATCCTTGAAAATCGATGCTGGTCTAGCAAAGGATACATACAGAGAACAGAGCTATTCTGAAACACATGCTACACATAACCTATAGAATGCCTTTTAAACTTCCTTTTCCACCGATTTACCCTACATACATCTTATATAATACCATTTGTAATACACCGTTGAATACTTTGAAGCAGAGCGCCTCTATTTGATACATCCTGTGTAGCTTATGTATGCCATATAGAACACTTGTACAGTACCGTTTAGATTACTTTTTGAAATCCATTATAGAAAATCCTAACAGTACCTTATAGATACGGGCTTTAAATATGGAAAGCCAGCCGGAGCCCAAGATCTGATAATTTCTAGTTGAATTGCAGCTTTTGGGTAAAGGGTTCTTTTGAAGAAATCAGGAACCAGGAAAACTATCCTTACAACTACCTTATAAAATACACTCTCTATGCACCTTAATAAATTTCATAAAACATACACTATAGAATACTTTCCTACATATAAGCCGCAGAATGCCTTTTGTACAATACCTTATGGGGTACCCTCTACAATACCTTATAGAATGCCTTATAGAATACCATCCTTACAGAAGACCGCCTATGAAATATATCTTTTGTATACCCCAAATATACCTCATAGAATATCCTCCAGAATGCCATTTAAGATACCCTTTACAAAAGCTTCCAACAGACCCTATAGATCACGGTTCAAAAAAAGGAACATCAGGAGGAGCGCGCCGTTCAACAGCGTAGCATACAGAGGACAGTAGACAATACTTCATGGTATTGTTTTGGCTCGAACGGTGTGGTTCGTCGTAGACAGCGAAGACTACGCAGTAAATGGCAGTTTAGTTCGGAGTGGATTCGTAACGTTGTCTAGACAGTACAAGAAGAGGGTTCGAGGTAGGTCCTGGGGGGGGGGGGTAGCATATATATATATATATATATATATATGATGCACATGAGCAAGATTCCCCCATTCCCTTCGTTGTTTCTCTTTGTGCGACGTACATAGGTGGTTTGATAAGTGTCTCTTATGACCATCAGTTGTTCTTGTTCTCTCGTCCTTTATCTTAGGGCAAATGATTGCAATCCCTAGAGAATGTGACGCAAAAAAGGGGAATTAGGAATCAAAATTAGGATCAGTGTGGGTCGTGCCGACACTGCAGTGTTTTCATCCACATCGCTAACCAATGTGTGTATACCAACACATGCTGGCGCCACTCTCTGCTCTTGACCATCCTGATACCTTGTGTTTTTGTTTTGTTGGAAAACTGTCTATATATCTATGCACATGCGCACACACATGAATTATATGTATATATAGACATGTATAGTTACACTCAATCACAAAACACAAGAACAAACAGGTAATTGGATGAGTGAAACAATGAGTCAAGACGGAAGTGCATAAACAGATGACTAGATAGATAAGTATGTTTGTATACAGGTGTTTATGTATGTACGGATGTATATATATATATATATATATAATATGGACAAGGAATATACCTTTGTGTGCATCGTTATATATATATATGCACATATATGTATAAGAAAGTAATTTCATGTATTGATTCGTTTATACACACACACACACACACCGAGTCTTCTCTCAGCGCGCTAAGAGAGGAGCTGGAGAAGTGCCTGGAGAGAGCAGACTTGACCTTGGCAGAGATCCAGGCAGGCCGCGAGTCGCCGATTCGTCAAAAAAATAGGCTTTAGGGGTTGGGTCAGGGGTCCAGGGTTTAGGGCAAAAGTTTAGGAGTTGGACACTGCCCCCACTCAGTAACCATTGAGTATTCCATGATATGCCTATGTACGGCCCTTAATCGTAACCCCATCATAGATTGTTACTGTATGACCGCAATACCCAAACTAGGGGTGTGTTATTCAGAGGTCCTTATTGTGAGGATCTTGCTGTTCTGGGATCCACGTATGGTTTTGGAACCTCGTTTCATAGCAGAGCACACGACGCAAGCCAGTAAGCCATGAGACCACAGCTAAAGCAGAACCCAGGATGGCATGTCTCAGAGCAACAGACAGCACAGCAAAATGTCGTATGTAACGTAGGTTGTTGTCATGAGAATGGATGCGGCGGAGGGGGCCCGAGTTGGACGGTGATAGCGACATGCGCGTTTGCTTTATGCTGAAGGTTCTGACTCAGCTTTGCAAAAACGGAGGCTGTTGCGATAATGCGCTTCTGGATCGGGTCGTTCCTGTTGTTGTTGGCTCTGTCAGTCTTTTGAGTCCACCACCTGTTTCTGAGGATGTAAAACTTTTCCAAATGGGATGCAGGATGCATGTTGCTGCTAGCATCTTCCGAAAGAGGAGCATTGGGCCCATCGATGCCGGCCCATTGCGCAGAAGGACTGCGAGACGTTGGTTGATCCTTGCGACGTCTCAGTATCACGATGTCCAAGTCTGCATTGTAGCGATCAGTATCCAGGGCATCGGCAGATGTTTGTCGTATGCGCTTTTGGATCGTGTCCTCTTTGCAGCACTGTTCTGCCGACCGATGGCTTTGCAATTCACCCCACTCGGTTGCTGACTATCGGCTGTCAGCTGCCATCCGCTGCGCGACTCGACTGTGAAATCGCACTTCGCAGTGTCAAGTCCTGTCAGGAGCCCATACCCCAAGCCCTCAAAACTGGGACTGCACGCGTCACGCTGTGCCGCTGTGCCGCAGGAAGGCGCTGCAATTGGTGGGCCGGAGGTCCCTGTGGCATCTGAGCCGCAGGCAGGGCACACGGACACGGGACGGTCAAAAGGGGGGGTTCTTCATTTTCCTTATTCCTGATGCTCCTTTCCGATTCAGGCTGGGGGGTGCTGGAGTTTCGATCTTCTGGGCCGTTTGATCATGCATCTTTCTAGCAATACTTTGGGAAGAAGGCAGTGGTCCTTCGGATGCCGCATGTCACCCGACGTTCCCTTTGTTGAGTGAGGTGGAGGCCTGGCAGCAGATGTGGAAGATCCAATCCATCAATCGCATGTGGACATCTGCAGATGTGGCACACGCCCGGATCTCAGCTGTGTCTGGCTGTGCCTGACTTGGAGTGACACTTTCTTGTGCGGGATGCACAACCTCCTTCCTCTTTGCCAGAGCCTAGCGCCAGAAGATCACACAAATATGCCTCTGACTGACGGCCATGACTGTGGCATGCTGAGGTGCATGCCATCAGCGGCGCCATCTATTTTGCCTTAGGCCGCCGCTTTTGGCTGCGCCAGCTTGCATTTAGTCGAGGACAGTGCTGGCCTAGTAGGCTCGCCAGAAAAGCACAGATCCTCGATCAGCTGGACCCCTTGCTGATGAATCCAATAGCTCGCGTGAATGTGTCACTGCAGCCGATCTATGCGATGAATGAAATTTGGGCGCTGGCCGTGCCAGCGCAAGCAAGCCTCGACCAAAGCTAGCCAGGCCTGTGACAGATGGCCCAAGTCTCATGCCCTTATTCCGCCTTGCACAGGCGCGGGAGTGTTGCTCTACACCTGCGCGACCGATATCATGACAATCAATGGGAACAGCTGGGCATTGACCTCGGAGTTAGATGTCACATGGATGAGCGGCTGTCAGAGCTTCTCCGAGTTGTGCTGGAGTTTGCAGCGCGGGCTGATGTCTTCCTCGGTTGCTGCTGCCAACAGAGAGAAATTCACTAGAGGTCGCTTAGTTATTCTTGTCTTGAGCATGTCGGCGGACGTCGTGACCCAGGCGCCCACGCTTCCCATGGAGGCCTCCGCGCGCACCGTCGCTCTTAAAGACTTGCATCTGTCTGTCCGGTTCCGGAATACGCTGCTGAAGCCTTTATCACTGCCGAAAATCTGATACTCCACCAGATAGGTTCCGAGACAGTCGTCACACTACTGGTTTTCTCCTGTTTCGGGCGGATCAACTAATTATGCAGAGGTTTCCTGTCTGGCGATGCGGGACGGCATCGCATGAGGCTTTGCCCCTAAAGCCCTAAAAGCATGTATGTTTGTAGGTCAAGTTGTTGGCCCTCTTTGCTGGTGTCCTGAACGCCCTCAGCGGTCTCCAGCCAAGCCTTCTCGGATCGCCCGGGCCTCAGCGCGGTGCAATTTCCCAAAGCCAAAGAGATCCCCAAACCACACACCCATGAAGCCTTAGACCCCAAAGCCCCACGACGAAGCCAAAAATTGCCTTAAAAGGTATGATGTCTGTCCGCTTGAGGCGCAGCGATGTGCTGAAGATTTTGGGCTTCGGGAGCAGAGGCGACGTGAAGACCGGCGGCTTCTTGACCCTCGTCCTTGCACGAAGAGCTTTCCCAGAGTTTTTGAGAAATTCTCGCACGCACACATGCAATTTGTGCAGCTTTTTCGGGGAGCTTCAGCAGTCTCAGGAACGCCGCCGCCTTCTACCTGGCCGCGCGCTCGGCTGCTCCGCTCGGCTGCCCGAAGCCGGAGAGTCGAGGAGTCGTCTCAGAGGGGTTCCTTCTGCCCTGAGGTGCTGGCGTATCAGACGGCGAGGGCCGTGTGGCCGGAGCTGGCGATCGCGGACCCCCTTGTCGGAGGGCTCACGCTGCTGCTCGTGGCCCATCAGGTGGGGACAAGAAGCGAGCACGTAGTTCGCATGACGTCTGAAATCTCTGGTTCATCAACGCTTTGGCAGGCCTTCATCCTGAATTGCTGGGTGCAAAGTGGCCACATGCACCGAGTGGATGCTTTTCTGGTTCCTGGCATCTTCAATCTTCCTGCCTCTTGTCAAGCTGCAAGCTGTTCTGAGCTTTTCTTCTTGCATGCGCTGGTTCCAGATCTGATGCTTGCAGTGTAAGGTGACTTTGCATCTTCTGGCCGGCAGCCAGGTGCGTGTCGCAGTTGGTACCCGGACACATTCACGGTCACAGGTGGCAAAAACATCACCATGCTCGTCATTCTCACAGCATTCGTAATGACAAGCAGCTAGCAGCAATGATGGTGATATTGCCACCAGCGACAGACAGTCATTGCAATTGGAGTAATTATAGGCAGTGTGAGTACTGCCAACAGTAGTTGTTTAGACGGTCATGCTGATGATGCGAAGGAAAAGCATAGAGTAATCATCTTCACAACAGGGCCTGCATCAGGCGTGGTGGGAGGAGCTCTGCAATCGATTTGATGCTTGGCCGGAGCGGGAAGCCCAGACAGCGAAGGATCCGCGAACATCCGGTCCGGTTGAGGGTGTGTGGGGTTTTTGGCGTGTCTGCCAGTTCGAGTCTTGCATTGGAGAGAACCATTTTGATGCTGAGATGCTGGCATGCTAAGGTTCTTCTTTTCCGGCAACTTTGCAGTCGCATGGGCTTGCTCTTTGGCAGAACAGCGAGCGAAGGAAAGGGACAGGGCGATGCCTAGACTGCTGAGCTGAACCAAATTGCATGGGCTTGGATGCAGATCCCAAGCAACTGACCAAATCAGCTCAGGCGCTATGGTGACGCTGGTGCTGTCTCTGTACGAAAGGAGCCAGACATGTGTCCGGTGGAACGACAGCTGCAGGGCTTCAAAGCAAATCCGATGGAATGATCACGTCCGAGTAGTTTCGCATCTACAGACACTCACCATGAGGCAAATTGAAACACATTGGCACAGATTTCGACCTCAAGGCCGCTAGCTACGCGTAGGTTGCAGTTTGCCAGGAGAGTCATCAGCTTGGAGCTACGTGGTCTCTTGATGCTGAGCTTCCCAGCGGTGGTCTTCCTCACGGTGCGCGGCTGTGGTCACGCCTGTTATGTTGGCATGTATATGTAAGACGATCCGTAACCGTGCAAAAAGCGACTCAGGGGCGGCGTGTGGCCGCATGCTCGTAAGCCGGACATAGAATCTTGCTACATGTAGTGTTTGTTCTGCAAAATACATTCACGCAGATGTTCCGGATGGTGCAGCCGACCCGAGGTCTTTCTCCGTGCCCTGGCGTTGTTGCCCCAAGGGCTGGACGAGAACCTCTGGCTCCTGCTGACGCTGAACCCCTAAATCCTAAACTAGACAAACTACACATAAAAAGAATCGGTGACTTAGTGTGTAAGATTATGAGCAGCTTTTAAATGTCATAACTGTGTTTCGTAAGGAGCGAAGCTCAAGCTTGGACCCTTACTAAGTCCAACCGTGCTAACTGAATACAACTTAACTCCCGAAGCCGCGATGAAATGAGACGACGCATGCCTTCACAGAAAGGTTGTAAACATGGGCTCTCAAGCCACGTGACCGGGCCCAATGAAGTCCTAAGTTAAATCCGAAGCCCAAGAATTTGGTTTACAAAAGTCATAACCCAGATCGCGTTTTTCTGCGGCCAGAGCTGGCTGGGTCGGAGCCGACGAGCCGACCATTGGCCGCAGGAAGTTTTTGTTTCGGCGCCGACCCGGTGCCACGGAAAAGGTTTCGCAAGGATTTATTCCAGGAAGCCCATTTCCCTGTGATTAAGCCCTACACCTGAAAACCATGTCCTGCTAGGATCTAAGGAGTATCCATTGCACTCGATCTCTGAGTCATGGGAACAAGGGAAGATTGACTCGGGCATCTTTAGTTTAGGAGAAGAAGCCTCTTCCATGAGACCAGGCCCCTTCGTGTGGCTGGCTAGGTCTCGTTCCCATAGGTTTCCGCAGCTTCAACAAAGAGAGAACTCTTTGGTAAAGCTGTGCTTGTTTCAACGCTGTGGCCAAAGCCGACGCGACGCGGTTCTGGACATGGAAGGTCAGTGATTAACTGAAACCCTTCAAGGCCAAAACTCCCCAAACTAGACCACCCCGAAACTCCAAACCGATAAAAATCATTTCAGATCAGGACCACCGTTTTCCTCTCGGCTCGGGCCCAGGGACTCCGACACTGCTCGGGACACGAAGATCTCGCAGCTGGAAAAAGGCGATCAGCCAGGACCCTGGAGCTGGAAACAGGGAATGGGAGAACGTGACTTCGGAGAGATGCCGTGCATGTTCCGTGCGACTGGTTCGAAAGCCTTTGCCTTTGCTTCAGTTGTTGGAAACACCGCCACTGAGCACGGTAGTATCGGTCTTGACCATCTACAGCATGTCATGAGCGGATCGGTCGCAGATTGGTATCAGATCATGTCTGCCGCAGATGACTCGCTGCATGTCGGCGGCGCAGCTGACACGCTGGGTTCGGCGAGAGCCCGATGCAGGGTGTGGCATAGGGGGAGCAAACCCCTCTTAAGAGAAGAGGCGCCTTCGCTAGGCCTGCTAGGCCTAGAAAAGAGAGACGAGCTGGATCCTTCTACAGAACCTCAGGCCCCCCGAACACGCTCTCCGAAGCCTTCCACAAGTCATGAGAAGCTCTCGCAGAAGGCATCATTGAACTGCTGTTGCTTCTCAAAGCACAAGATTGTCCCTGGAGTCTTTGGCTAATAGCCTCTCAGAGTCGGGAGAAGTCCCGCACTGCAGCTACTATAGGGGCCGAAATAAATTCCTATACTATTTTGGGGAGTTCCTTTTTATACGTATAGTAAAACGGGCCCCAAAACCCTATTCTGATTATTAGGGCCCCTACATTACCCGTCTTCCTCTAAGGAGCCTGGACCTGGAAGGCGAAGCCTCTGCGGGGATTTCGGGATTCTTAGCCCTGGTTCTTAGCGTGAGTCCGCGAACGCTACGAGTTCTGTTCTTGGCAGTTTTCGAGCGAGCACTCTTACATCTACTATCCTGTGCTTACTATTGCTACTAGTGCTGTTGATGTGTTCGTTCCTATCGTGGATAAGTGCAAACTAGTAACTCGTCGAGTCGACCTTGACAAAGGATTTGTGACGTGCAGGCTGAGCACCTGCTGAAGCCCGGTTCACCGAAGGGAAACTTGAAAGCTCAGAGATTAGAATGGGCGTGAGGTGCTCAATTTGCTGGGTGACAGAAGTTCATATTGTGCTGGTCGCGCGTGCCGCCCAGACGCTTCCAGCTCCGTCAATTTGACACAAAGATGTCTCGCTGTGGCATATGGCTCAAGGCTTTTGAAGCCGCTTTTCAAACCGAACAGATCGTTTTGTTTTGATCGGGGAGCCCAGCAGGCCATGTATTTGCCCTCCTGGGGCCTGGCTTTGGCCTGGCTTCCCTTGGTCTTTGCTTCGGTGCCACAAAACCGCAGCTGCCACGAAGACGCCGCTCCTCTGTTGCAGGTGCCGGCCTAGAGCCCAAATGCGGGGCTCCTCCGAGCTCTTGGAATCAGGGGCATTCGGAATTGGCTTCCCAAAGCAGTGCAGCGAAAGGTTCAATTGACCCTACCTGATGGCCGTTCCCAGAGCCCTATAGAGCCCCAGCCCCGAAAGCCCAAGTTCCCTGAAGCCCCAAACCTTCTGGAAGCCTTGAAGATGCGCAGTTTGCAGGTGCGCAGCAAGCAATCGGTGTTTTCTGGAGACGGCAGAGACCGGGCTCTTCATAGCATCCCTCTCAGGTTCCCTCTTCGCTTTATTTAGGGTTCTTCCTTACTGTGGTTGTTCTTCGCCACAGAATTTGTTGGAAGCAGGGTAGATCGAGGTTCTATGGGGTGCTGTGTCGGCTCATTCTCTTTAAGTTGATAGTCGAACAAGTCCCCAGCGAAAGGCGTCAAGTGTGAGAATTCGGGGAACTTGGATCTCAGATCTTAAGGAGTATTGGAGTGTTTGGGTTCTCATGTACAATATACAGGTCTGAAGCATCCGCAGGAGTCTGCTCCCTCGTAGGTCCTATACCCCTACCCTATATCATACCCACAAAACCTTTCAATTTAGTATAAATGCCTCGCCAAACCCTGGTCGCCAGACTTCTCGATGCTATCTCCTGATAGTTCCCACGTACTTACATAATACCCCTACCACCCTTTTTCAGTCATGAATCCAACATGTTCTAGAGCCCTTTTAGTCGCTCTTATAGAGCCCTTTCAAAAGGGGGCCTAAATTAGAAGCAATGCAAGGCGAGCAGCTCCTCCTGTTCTTGCAGACCAATGCGACTCACTGTGCCGAGAGCCTCCCATACTCCCAGGCAACCTCTTTGAATTTGTGGCTTCGGTTTTCGGATCTAGCAAATAAGGTTTGGGTTTCGGGCTTCAGGGTTCAGGGTTCACCTTTTCAGTGGTTTAATGTTTTTGGGGTGGAGGGTTCATATATGTGCACATATATGTATGGTGGGGGTTTGGGATGTCGTTTGTGTTTGCAGGGCGTTGTTTCTTTGGATATCGTTTGGGGGGGGGGGGCGCGTCGCCAAACTGATTTACTAAAAGGGTGGATGTATAACGAGGCCGACAAGCTGACCTGATCTGCTTCTGCTGCCGACAGGATCTGCTGCTTCGCTCTTGCTTGATTGCTTTTACCGTATTAATGTATAATCAATGTTTAGCCTTGCCGTATTCGTCTAGCCTGTGCAAATGGAATCTGCACATTCCTTACAAGCCCGGTCTCAAGTCTTCTTGTTGACCCGAGAGGCCTTACATCCTGAACCCCAAACCCATATATATATATATATATATATATGGTCCCCCCCCCCCCCCCCCAAGATCTACGTGCGCCTCTTCCACAATTCCACAGGTTGCTTCTCTACATTGGTCGACTACTCATATATGCCGAAAACACCGTAAATTCCGATACAATCGTGCTTTATTCCATGTGCATGCAAACAGTGCTGCTACAAGTCGCGGGTTTGATATGTGTAAAAGTCTGGCGCCGAATCTCGGCAGCAGGTTTATGGTAGTTTATATGTTGGAGAAGCTGAAATGCTGTGGAGGGCGTGCTATTTTTGTTCAGGTAGTACTAAAAAACCTCGTGTTTTTTGCGTTTGATGGTGTGTTATTTAACGACATTCCTCTAATAATAAAAATACTATTGTCTCTCTTACGAAGACGTCTGTGTGCGTGGGCCATCTCTTTCCCGCTGCTCGTCCTGTCCGTTATACATGGAGGAAGTTGAATATACGGGCGCATTTATTTTTGAAGCAATACTCCAATAATTGTTCTTTGCCTCATAAAAAATGGGAAAGCTCCCCTGGAGTTGGAAAGTTCATGTGCATATGCGGGCGCACAAGAAGGCTCGTCTGCAGCAAGAAGTAAGCGAGCTCTTGCAACCTTCCAAACATGAAGCAGGACTAATTACGACTGGCTGCATTGATACGTATCAATCACAAGGCAGGGGCTCCTTAATCTTATAAAACAAAGTAAAATGGCACTTCATGGAAGAAAACTCCTCTTTATGTTGTGAGTCGATATTAAAGGCAGCCATGTGCACAGCAATCGCTGTCTATTGTTGAGGGTATTCATTTGGGCCATGAGTTTTCATTCGGTTAACTCTTATTAACGATGCTGTCCTATACCCCGGAGAAGATGCCGATCGCTATGTCCATGGCTGTTGCTCTAATTGCTGTCATAGAACGTAGCGGAAAAAAGTAGCTCTCTTCAATCTTCAAGCGACGCTCCCCAGATGTGATCAGGAAACAAAGAGAAGCTTGCTTACTGGTATCTTTTATTAAACGGGCAAGAGGCGTAAGACTTGTATCGGTTTCTACACCTCCCTCACAGCCTGACAAAGCGATACCGGTCCTTCTATCTGTGACTGTGGTTTAAACGCTGTCATAGTTCGTATCACAACATGAAAAGGAGCTCTTTTCAGTCTTCAAAAACTACAGGTGACATCGTAGAACTCTCTTCTGGGTTAGCAGGAATCTTCATGTCTCTTGCTTGATAGGTATGAGGATGTTCCACAGGAAACCGAATAGGAAGTCTCCACTGTTTCTGATGATAGCAAGATGCAAACAGTTTTCCACAGTCTTCAACATGAAACGAATTAAGTTCTAGATAGGCTTGCGCTGCTACAGTGATGGATCTGTAGGCGGTGCAGCTTGCCGAAGAATGGCCAAAACCAGTTTCGAGAAAGCTCAGGTACTGGAGCCAGTGCTGTTGGTGCCATAGATCTACTAACCTCCGAAAACATACATGAAATAAACTATGCAACGACTAGGCCTTTTTCATACCTACCAAACAAGAGTAATGAAAACCGTTGTTGTTCCAGAAGACACATAAATCATTACTTCCAGTCCTTGACAACGGTTGAAAGCACGCAATTATCTTGTGATGCAATATATCCTGTCCTGGACATCAGAAAACACTGTGATGCTAACCCTGAAACTCACGAAACACTGTACTGCTCAAAAAAATCCAAAATTCTAAAATGCTGGCATCTATGGCCAGGCCGGGGGCAGATTCCTTAAAAGTTTGGAATTTTTTGAGCATAGCAGTGTTTCGTGTGTTTCAAGGGTTGGAAAAGTTGATTTTTTTGAGCATTACATGTTTTGTGCGGTTGAACCGCACCTCGTCCGGGTGGATTTCCATGGCTTCGTGTGCGGCAAAATTTCAATAGGCTTGGAGTCACACTTGATTGTGCACAGCTGCGCACCCATCACATATCGCATGTCCCTCTTCACTAGACCCTCTCATAAACACTCACTGGCTCAAGATTTCGGCTGTGGGAGAACGAGACGGACCAGGCGGTTTTGGTTTTAGGACCAGCATCAGCAGGTTTGGGGGCGGAACGCGCATCATGAGCATCAGCGGTGCTGCATGGCAGTACAATAATTGGAGCCGCTACCCCATGACCTCGTTGTTGAGTGGTACATTAAGCAAATTCATTTCTTTTTGACCATGTTTTAGGACCAGCCCCGAAGCCGACTGATGTTCATGAGGCCACGGCTGATGCTCATGTTTCTACACGTCCTAGAGTTTCCAGATTCCAGATGTGCAGGATAAGTTTCCAGATTTCCAGATTTGCAGGCTCTAAGATTCCAGATTCCAGATTTCCGGATTTACAGGCTCTAAGATTCCAGATTCCAGATTTCCGGATTTACAGGCTCTAAGATTCCAGATTCCAGATTTCCGGATTTACAGGCTCTAAGATTCCAGATTTCCAGATTTCTGGAAACCTTAGGGTTTCCAGATTCCAGATTTCTGGAAATTTGGAAACCTTAAGGTGAGCAAATCTGGAAATCTGGAATCTGGAATCTCTGGAAACATAGTGCATGCAAATCTGGAATCTGGAAACCTGCGTACTGCAGAAAGCCGGAAATCAGGAAATCCAGACTCCGAAACCTGCAGACGTAGATCTTGGGGGGGGCGAGCATATATATATATATATATACATACACTCATGTGTATGTATATATATATATACACAGCCTTATGAAGCCCAATAAAGCCGTTATGTAAAGGCCCCTGTTCAATCCAGATGGCTTCCTCACGCCGTGTAGCTAAATCGGAGTTAGAAGAGGGGATCATAGTTCCAAATACTCATGAGTGCTCTTCCTATTTTTCCCTGATATGTCTTGCGTATGTGTATATCTATATCTAAATAAATATATATATATATATATATAGATATAGATATAGATATAGATATAGATATAGATATAGATATAGATATAGATATAGATATAGATATAGATATAGATATAGATATAGATATAGCAGCGGAAAATGTTTGGCTTCAATATTACGGCTTAACGCGCTGGACTTCTAGCTCCCCAAACCCTGAAAAGCTCAAAGAGCCGTATAAGCGCCAAGAACCAACCCAGCTTGGCTGGGGAGGGGGCTGGATCTCCGGAAAGATCTGCATAGTCCCAGAACGAGAAATCTGCATGCACGCATGCCTACATGCATCAGTTCATGCATCCATTTACTTCTGCTTGTGTTTATGAATGAGGAAGAATGCTAGTTGGGTAGGTAGGTGGATCTTTTATGTGTAGGTTAATCTGCGCGTGTGTATGCATAAATGTATACTCTTACTCTATATATATATATGTATACATATACACAGAGGTCTACCCCTATACATCATGCATGAGCCTTCCCTCCCAAATCCTGGCAAGTATTCGATGGCCAGGATGCCTCGCTCTTTTCGAAGAGTTCAGAAGCCGGCATCAACCTGGGCTTGAAGGACGCCGGCAGAGCACCGGCTGGGGTTGGTGCTGAGGTGCTCAAAAGTTTGCGGTTCAGGATATAGGGATCTTGAGGGTTTAGGGTGCTCCGAGTTCCGGGCCGAGATCACGGATGCACCCCACTCTGTGGCAGGACGTTCGGCACAGGGTCTGGGTGCAAGAGCTCTTCGTCGGCGATGACCCAGAGCCTGCCGTCACCCTAAAATGGAAGTTCACACGACGGAAGACGTTGCAAGAGCCTGGGCTTCGCGTTTGGTTGGGCTTGCAAGTTAGGATGAAGGTGAGGGAAGCGCAAATAGTTAAGGTATGACTTCTTCCCACCTACTCTGAAGCTCGTCCTTTGAGTCCTTTCAACATCCCTAGAGATGAGCATTGCAGTAGGCCGAAAACTCTCGTCCCTTCCGCATCCGTGAGCTCTGGGCTGAGTCGCTACTACATAGGCTTGGCGTGTCAATTACTCTTGCCATTGTTGTTTCCGCTCCTGTCGTCCCTGGAACTCAAAACAGCCCGACACCGGCACACAGCTGACCCTCTCATGATTTCCCACCGAGGAGCGCCTGACTACTGCGTCCCGCGTGGGAGAGTCCGTGAAGCCTTGGGTTTCGCGAAAAAAGAGAGCGAGAGACAGAGAGAGAGTAAGCCGGGGGAGCGTAGCAAGAGAGGCTGCAGTGAAAGGATCCTTTCGCTTCTTGAGACCTTGAGGTGGACTCTCGATCCTCCGTGCCCCAACAGACGATCGACGAAAACGGGTGTCTGGTGGTTCTCCAGCAACGCAGGACCCCACCCAGAGCTCCAGGTGTGGGGGTTTCTTCGGCTCTTCGGCTCCCGCGGCTCCTGCAGTGCCCATGAATTTTGTGGGAAGGTGTCAACATCAACAGTACGGGTTCCAGTCGTGTTGTGCCCACGTCTTCAAGAAAAAACCAAAAGAAGACCCCGTTACCTCGCCCCCCCCCCCTCCATTCCTACACCCATGCGGCCCGACACCCGCAAAGAGAAACGGCAAGGGGCCGCGTCTAAGAGCGAGTGAACCCCAAGCAAAAGCGCCGCGGGGCGGAGAGGACTTGGGCGCTTCGGCTTCAACTTTTCGGGCTCGGGCTCCGATTTCTCCGCTGACGACGGCGCTTGGGGAGCCGGCTTTGGGACCGTGGACGGCACGGGCGACATGCCGGAGGCCCGAGGCGCGGTGGGCGCCGGGCCCGCCAGGGGCGCGGAGAAGTGTAGGTGTTTCTTCTCCGGTACGGGGTTTTGCGGGTGCTCTCAAGAATCTTTTTCGTAAGGGTGCTCTGCTCGTGCTTAGAAGGGTTCTTCCTGCAAGCTTGGCGACCGTCAACTGAGTCAACCAGCATGCGCCTGGTCGTTCTCTCGCAGCTGAAGCAGCCCGAAAATCGTCAGCATGAATTCGTCAGGACTTCAGCGGGCAGGCGAATCGATGCGCCGATCGGGATGACATGACTTGTGGCTTTATCTTCCACTGCGGCAGCTTGGTGGACAGCAGGGCAGTTGGGAGGAGCCGAATCTACATGTCTGCTCCTCGGCAAGCAAAGGATTTGGCTGGGATTCTCTTCTATAACCCCTCACCGCCCTACCTCCGTGAGCCCAGAAGTCCTTCGCACCACCACAGCCCAAGGTTCCATAAACCCTAAACCCCAAACCCTAAACCCCAAACCCCTCTAAATCAACCAGACGGGCGAAAGGAAAAAGGCGTTCAAAAAAAAAAACCCTCTAAAGCCGCAGCCACCAAGGTTCCGACGACTGAAGTCTCCTTGGCCGAGTCCGAGCCCAGTTTGGCGCAACTCGGGGAGTCGCCCGGACACTGGTCGGACTGTCGAGGCCCTTGGCCTTTCAATATTTTCTATTCGTAATACTTTTTATTACTACTGTTGTTCTTATTGCTGGATTGTGCTTGTTCTTGCTAGTCGTCGTATAATTAGCAATATTATTAGTACTTGTACTTCCTTTCAGGGCCCTGAATTGAAAGCCGAGGCTTCTAGCTTAAGTTCTGTCGGGGGAGCTATGGGGGGCCTTTGGGTTCAGGGTTGGGGCGAGTGCCAAAGGGCTCTTAGAGTTTGGGGTTTGAGGTTTATGCTGGTTATGATTTAGGGTTGTAGGCTTGAGGGCTTAGGGTGTTGGGGCTTTTGGGCTTCCAGGTCCAAAAAGGAAGACCGCGCCTTACTACCAGGATTCCTTGAAGGGTGTCGAACTTTCCTGGAGCTTGGCGGGGGTGTCTTCACAGGTTTTATGTGGTCAGAGAAGCAGGTGGCTTATTATTGAAATGCCCCGAGTTGGCCAGTATGCAATCCATATAGCACTATAGCATAGACTTGCAGATAAGAAGGCTGCACCTCCATCTGTGTAGAGAAGTTTGATAGACCAACCAGCATCGTGGCAACTTGATGGAGAAGCTGTTGCCAACAGCTGCTTAGGTAGTTGCCCTTACTGTAAAGTAGCTCGGCCTACAAGCCGAATGCGGCAGTCTGGGGGAGCATCCATGCTTTGGTCGTCGGTAGCTCGGGTTTCCAGAACGTCTACGAGAGACCAGACAAGCGACCTGCCTTTCCTGGGCATCTCGAGATTTGTGTGGTGCCTGGTCCGCAGAACCTACACGGGAACTCTGCTCCTGAAGTTAGTAGTAAACATGAAGCGCCAAAACACGAACCTGAATGGCTTAAACTCTGACAGCCATGCTTCCTGCTGGAGGGAAGAGCTGCGTGTCGATGGCCGAGCTCGACACCGTGCAGCGTCGCTACCGTTTTCAGTCCCTGGAGCGGGCCCAGGCAGGGGGAGAATCCCCAACTCAAGAGATAGGCAGTAGGCATGCGCACATACATTCCCGGAACGTCCCCGGCTCCGATCTGCTGCGTTGGCGATAGCATGTCATACACTTGCATGTCATGCATGGATGCTGGTGTGACTGTAGCAACTTACCAAGCTCTCCTGACACAGCTCCAGTCTGCAAGCCACACACTACAAAATGCCAGTGCCCAAGACCTAACATCATGCGCTGCGCCCCAGCACTTTTGCCCCATAGCTCAGCCTATTGTTGTGCGATTAGAGTCACATAGTCCTTCCGCTTGGCCCTGCTAGCGATACTGTGAAACTGAAGCCTTATTTCAGATACCCCCCAGAGGCACAGATCAGTTTGGGGACCACGGTCGGGAAGCGTGGTCACCGCCGCCGGCGTGGCCTTGGGGGGCGCAGACGACGAGGAGACTAGACAATGTGGCAGCTCACATCACAGGGATCTTCATGGTCAGGGTACCTTGATTCAGGGATTCAGATTGGGGTCCCTCCGGAAACGACCATTTTTCTGTAAGGAGGGTTTCAGAGGGAGGAAGTAGGAGCCGCTAAATACCAAAGAGGAAGGGAGTAGACATGCGTCCGGAAACCTCTGGTCCTGCCGATCGGCATCGTCGTCACAGCAGTCCTAGTCCTGGGCGTCGGATTGGGAATGCATGTCGTGCTGGCAGCAACTGATTCAAACACACGAGTTCGCCTTTGATCATTACGAGTTGTGGCAAGAAGAGGAAGTGGAGGTAGTAGCGCCGGTTGTTACGATCACCGCAAGCAAAAGGATGGGGCCGCCGTCGTCGAAGAGGCCTCCCGGCCGTCGAGAATCTCGACAATCGAGTTTGTAATTGTTGCATTCCTTTGGGCTTATACCACACCTAACGAACGGGCAAGTCTAGACTTGCCGCCCGCTTAAAACCTGATATCTCAGACAGCTAAGGAAAGCGGTCCAGGACCATCCGCCTCAGCTTTTGTGGGATGAAGGGCCTGGTTGGGCATGAGGATTCTACGCACACAACAGCTGGGTGTGCATGGTGCAGAGTCAATGTTGCAGGGTCTATAGACCTTGATATCGCCAACAAGCGAGATGGTTACCCAGAGAGCCGGGCGCCCCTCAATAATCCGGAAGATGACTTAGGTCGTATTGCTTACCTAAGGGGGTTTCGGGCTTTCAGGCCCTACACTGCATGAAGTGCTGTGAGACTGGAAGAGAGGGTTTGCTTGTAGTGCTATGGCTTGATTTGTTTGCAGAAGGTGTGTAGCAAGTTGCCTTGATTAAAGCTATGCGGTTGAGTATGCGGTTGAGGGTGGACGCTTCCTTCAGTTCTCTAGTTCGTCTTCGGTTATTGAACCTCATGGAACGTTCTGATCCATGTTCCCACCATTCACACCTTTCTCAGGGCTGGTACTTGTCAGCCTGCTTATTAACACCTGTCCCCCGTGCTTCCGAAGGAATCTGCCGACCGTGTTGAAGAAGCTGCCGCTTCGCGTGGATGCGGTTGTCATCTAGTTGGACTGGGTGTGCTTAAGGGGTATCCGTATAAGCCCTAAGCGACGGCATTGACTTCTGCTGCTTGCTACCGCTGCTTCTTTCACACTGCCCTGCACCCTGCACCCTGGAGAGAGAATAGTTCCTTACATCCGCCAAGCCATGGGGAGCCCGTGGCCAGACCTACACTCCTACAGCAGACCCTCCAGTACCCCTGAAACCTTGAGGATCAAGCCCCCTCTAAGCCCTGAGCCCTAAAGAACCCTAACGAACCACCAAACTCTCTGCAGCAACGGAATAAAGGGAGAAAGAGAGCCTAGGGTAAATGGGTACGTAGTTTTTTAGGGTTTAGGGTTTAATATGCGGTTTACTCTGCAGGGTATTTAAAATGGTGACTATCCAGGCCTGGGGTTTCGTAGGGTAAGAAAGAGCGTGTTCTGAACACCAGGCATGCCTTACTTAGAGGTCTTTCGACCAAGGATCCCATTTTTCAGGCTTCGCATCGGTATCCTTTCTTTTCGAAACTCCCTGTTAACCCCTCCAGGCGAGCATGGGGTGGTCTTGTAATCGGTCGTGCGAAGGCATTTTGCTCTGATAGCTGCAGTTCTCTTGGGATCAGGACGTACTGTACGGCTTTGAGGTCTTACAGGTTGGGTGTTGAGGGTTTAGGGGCGCATGGCCCCAAGCCCTAAAAATTGGGCCGTCTCCGGCACCCCAAGGCCGAAGACATTCAAGACGCCACGGAAGAAGCGGTCCAGGAGGGCATCGACGTGGTGACGGAGGATCTGCCTGATGCGATGGAGGACGCGGTCAACGATGTGGGAGTGGCCTTGCTGAAACTTCATGGCTTTACCCGAAGCCTACCCAGAACCGGATTGGCAGTGAGGTGACATTGCCGGAGTTGGTGGACACCGTGGTCGACACCGTGGTAGAAGCGGCGGAGGGTGCGGTAGACGTTGTGGCCGATGCTGCCCGGGACGCCGGGGTAACATCCTCCTGCATTCCAAAAAACCAAACCCAACAGCCCAAAGAACTCCAAACTCAAGAGCTGCCCCAACTCCGCAACTCGATTCTAGAATTCCTCCTGTTTGCGAAGGATGGCGTTCGCCAGGGCTCCAAGCTGGCCAACGAGGTGGGCAGTGGCAGCTTCCTGAAAGGGCCTGCCGGAAGTTCGGCGTTTAAGCGCTTGTCTGGGTGGCCTTGCATTTTATTTGTTTGAGGTGTTTTCAGGTTGAAGGGTTTTCGGGGGTTCAGGGACGAAAGCAAAGGGAGCGGAAGCGAAGCATCCTGCGTTGGCAGGAAGAATCCTGCTTTACCCTGAGCGCCCAACACTTCATGAGTATTTATACTTTCGGCACAGTAGATCGCCTTAGACAATCAATCGATGCTTTCTGAGTCATTAGCTACTCCTTCTTTAAGGGGTGCCTTACAGCAGGGCTTTGTCAAGGGTCCCGAAAAAAAGGGACCCGCCTCCACCTCCCAAAGGGGCAGAGACATGGTGAAAAGAGAAAAGCTGAATGACCACCGCAGGCCCCACCCGCCCCCCGACTCCTCCGGTCATTTTTTTTGGCTCTGTGACTTTAGCCCCTGAAGGCTTAGGGTTTGCAATGTAACACATGTTGCCAAGGGTTAAGGGTTAAGGACCTTTTCTTATGACTCTCCGAGGTGACCCGGACCATCGTGAACGCCGTGGACAGGCTAGGTGATTTGGCTGAGGCGCAAAGAGGATTCTCTAACATGGACGGCTTGCTTCCTGAGGGTGTTCGACTTTCGAGGAGGTAGATTTGACTCAGGTGTTCGGGACCAGGTCTCGACATCAAGAAGCCACTTCTTGCACGCCTTCCAGACGTGTTAGCGTTTTCAAGCGAACCACTGCTGTGGGACCGACAACCTTGCTTGAGTCAGGGTGAGAACAATGAGCACTACTGCTGTAGGGTTGCTGGATGATGGAGCAACCACACCTTTGCGAGAACCACTCAAAAGTGGCATCTTTCACTCCAAATCACAGCGCCACACAAGACGAGCACAGCATCGCATGACATCATCACAGGGTAAATCCCTGAGGCCCTTTTGAAGAAAGCCCTGTAAAGCCTTTGTCAGAGGCCTGGGGGGTGATGGCCCTTGGTTATTTGGAGGATGCCTGGGCCCAGAACCTCGGCAGCAAGTCAGCCTCAGCCTCGACTAGTTCGCTAACATTCAACAGCTCTTGGGGTGTTAAGATTCTAAGATGTGCTCAGGCTACTTTGGGCTTTCGGGCTTTGGGTGGAGGGTTGCTTTGGGCTTCTTGGGTTTGGAGTTACAAGGAAGGTTTCAGGCAGGCACGCCAGAAGCCAGCCACCCGGAACAACAGCGTGCAAAAGCATTCCGATACAGCTTTAAGGGTTCAAGTTCGGCCGATGCCTGGTGGTACGACTCGCAGAGCAAGAAGCGAAGGAACATAAGAGCATGCTGACGCCGTTTTGCTGGCCCGGGCACAGCATCACTTGGAAGTCCGAACCCTCCCAATATTCCCTCGCCCAAACAAACACACATGCAGTCAAACTGAACCGAACACGTTCATAACTCCAGAACCCTTTCAGAAACCCTAAGAACCCTTTTCGGAAAGCCCAGCTGGCCATTTCTCCCAGGATTGCGGACTTCTTGGCCTGTCTCGAGCAGGCGCGGCTTTGTGTTTTTGCTGCCTCGGGGCTCCATGGGCTTCGGATTTCGGGCCTGGTGGGTTTCAGGGAGCAAGTTGCTTGGCTTGTGGCAGGGTCGTTTTGCCGGTAAGGACTTGGTTCGGGTGAGAATCATTCATCTCTAGACTAGAAGCACTGTTTGCGCCGATGTTGCAACTGTGATTTGACATGGGGTGTGCGATGTTCTGCGACCAGAAATCATGCGATGCTGGTGTCGCTGGGAGGTGGAGGTTGTTTTCACAGCTAGGTCTCACTGGGAGCACTAGGCCGCTTCTGGTCAGCGGGAGCTTGAACCATGGAGTGGAACAGATAAAGGCCAGCGAAACTATAGGCCTTTCCTCAGGGTCCCGTGTTGCAAAGCCCTCGGTATATTTCAAGGAATATTCCTTAGGGGCTTTCCTTGTCAGCCGCGGATCAAAACCCAGATCGTTGAATTTCCCCAGGTTTTTGATCTCACATGCAGACTCCTCCTGTCCGACAACTGCGACTGCGACAGCACCCCCAAGAGACTTGGTGATTTTTGAGATCTCTTTCATGTGGGCTGGCGGCTTGTGTGGTGGTTGCTCTGTCCACACATCACATGCGCTGTACATTCGAAGCCCACAGCTCAGAAGAGCCTGATGCCCGAATCCTTGCATGAAATCGAAGCCCTGAGATCCAAGCTTCAGACCACCAGGCCACAAAGCCGAAAGCCTATGACCGCAAAGTGAGCAAAGGAGCGACATCAGCGTGTCCGGGAGCAACCTGAGGGTCCGGTGGCCGAGAGCAGGGCCCGTTTTGCATTTGTGGCCTATAGAAGGATGAAAGTTTCGACCTGCGGTGTCTATCATTTTTGCGGTGTTACAAGAGCACTTCCTGCAGAGTAGAGGAACGCCTATGGCATCGTGGCCAGGCCCATGGAGTGTGTCCGCCTTGCACTGGTAACTGCTACTCACCCCGACACGTCAGGACTCTTGTAGGGCGAAATGAGGCCTCGATGTTGATGAAGCCCGATAGTGGCTTAAACTTCTGTCGCAGTTTGGGGCTTGGTGGAGGATTCGAATCTGAAAGTGGAGTGGGGATGACTTGTTTAGGGCGTTGCGTCATGGAGTCATGGCTGTCACCTCACCCGAAGTGCCTTAGGACCAACCAGCACCTCCCAGAACTCATCCGCCATGATTGGCTCTGTGCTTCCAAGGTTGTCTGCGTGGTGAAAGGTGGGAGTGTTCCAAAGATTTCATTTTGAAGCTTCTGCCATGGCTTTACCAGGATGTTCGATCTTAAGTTACCAAAACAGGGTTTCCTTCCTGTGGTCCTGACTTGAACAAGAGCACGCGAAAAAGAGCAGTACCCGCCGAGATGCAAGCATCCATTCTGGTGACAGGAGCGGGTCCCGTTCTGCCCCAACCACCCAAACCTTCACAGGCGCCCGCAAAACGCCCATGAAGCCCTGGAACTCTTCAAACCGGCACCAGTTATCTAAATCTTGGGTTCTACTGGGCTATGATGCTATGATGGGCCGTAAAAGCGAGCCCCCTGGGAGGGGACCTCCTGACGGCCAACTTCGGCTGGGAAGCCTCGGCCTCGGCGAGCTTCGAGCCCTCCTCGCGGGCCAGCGGCGGCAAGGTCCAGATCCCAGGAGCGGGTCCCGCCAAAACTGGAAGCTGACTTCTCATTCTTCGAATTTCAGGGGTTTGAAAGGGCCCAGAGAAGCCGTCTCCGAGAGTTTTTTTCAAGGGAGTCTGCAGAGCCCCATACACGCTGATGGAGGACGAAACCTGAAGTCTGCAACTAGATTATGCAGGTAGGGCTGGGTTCCTGGGGTCGGAGGCTTCATAGAAACGCTCATTCCTGCCCTTCTCAGAATGCAAAAGCAACTGCCGAAGGCCAGGAGACCAACTCAACTCACCGTCGTCGAAGAGGAGTTGCGAGCTTTGGCCACGGAAAAGCACACGGCAGATGAGCATAGCCCGTTCCTTCTAAGGCTCATCCTTAACGACCATGGTTCATTGTTATCACGGTATAGACCCAAGCAGTGCTTAACAGCAGTGTATCTATTCTGGGTCTTGGGCTTAGTGTTTTCTAGGTTCTCTTGTGGCAAGCAGCTGGAAGAGTATAGCTGGACTATGACAATGGCACACCCCAAACCCCGTGTTGATGATAAAGGTGCCTTGCAACATAACTCCGATGCCATGCGGTTGCGTGTGTGGTTTACGAGGCAGTTGAAGGCTTTCCGAATGCTCCGTCTCGCGCCGATTAAGCCCCAAACACGGGATCACCACACAAAGACAAGCATGGGCAACAAGACCGTCCAGACCCGATCATCGCGATCCTTGTGCTTGTGTGGTCAGATTGAATTGAACTGTAAGGGGCCGGAATGGCTTCATCGATGCGTCAACACCATCCGGGTCGCTCCGGAGTCAGGACAAGACTTCAAGAGAGCTCCCTCATGCCTGGGTCACAGAAGTATGCGGCATTGGGCTGAATAGTCGGCAATGTCTCAGCATTCCCGAAGATGTGCATATAACAACGCCTCGAAGGGCTGTTTACCTTTGGACTACTCAGCGAGCGATTCCCAAAGCCTTGTCTGGTTGTAAAGGCTCTCTCTTCGATTGTCAAGCCGAGCTCCAGGGCCTCGGCCATTGCTTGGGCCCTGCGGAGGAGGTGTCACGTAATTCTGGCGGAACTTCATCAAGAAGCGCCAGGACGGGTGCAGTCAAAGGTTGCTTGCAGGTCGGGGGTTTCTGCTTGCGCGGCATGCACATCCATCCCCCCATCCATCTGCCCATCCACGCATCCTTAATGTATATGTGTACGTGTATGTATGTAGGTGTGTATGCATGTATGTATGTAAGTATGTATGTGTGTGTATATATATATATATGTATATATATATATATATATATGTGTGTGTGTGTGTAGGTTCATCTATATGCAGCGTTTGCACCATACTTGGGTCGGGGAGACATTTCTTTCTATGCATATATGCATACGTACATGCATGTTTTGTGTGTGCATGTAGATGGGAGGAAAGCGGCCGGGATGGGGTGGTCTTGTTTGCTTAAGTAGTCGGCATCATGGTAAGGTCCTCTGTACCTTGATGGAACCAGCAAGGACACACGAATGCATTGTGAGCATGTCCTAGCGACTGCTCTGGAGCTCAGGGAATCTTCGCCCCAGAACAAACAGGACTTCCTCCAGCTCTGGCGGCACAACCGAATACGAGGACAAGTGCGAGGGTCAAACCGGTCTCGCCCTGAACGGAGAGATCGGCATACAAAGCATCATCGTCGAAGGCTCCTTGCTTCGGGCTGCTTCAAGGGGAATTGTAGGTTGAAGCGAGGCGATTTGAGTAACAACGAGTGCCAAAGGCCATACCCCGAAACTCTCTAGCTGGCCGGTGTGATGATTCGAGGTGACGAAGCTTTGAGTGCGCCGAAATGGTAATCTGAGTACGATAGATTTGCTATGTCGATGCGAGGATTTGGAAAAGATATGCTCGTGTGACCAGGCAATGTGGACCTGTTGTCGGGAGAGACCACGGTGGATGTGACAGTGAAGCTTGACTCTGCATTTTCGCAGTTTGAGCTGTCTGTTTGCGTTTGGCGCAGGACCCTTGAAACACCTGCATAGCTTTCCCGGAATCGGGCTACTTGACACAGATAGTGTCAAGTTGTAGCGTTCTGTCAAGCAACATTCCCGCAATCGCCAGCAGTTGCAGATCCCACCATGCCCCGGTGCTAAGGGAAACGGGCCTGGTGCTGGAGGCATTGCTCGAAGGCACCTTGGCTCAATCGTGGGCCCTTGCTTTGGGCAGGACAACCCATGGCATGCTGCTCATTATCTTCCGCTTTGTCTCTGCACAGAGGGGGCTTGAAACCTCAAAAGACGCTTGCCGAGGCCAGGGTGCTTGCTCCTTCACGGCCGCACGGCGCTTCCCCAAAAAGCCCTACGTGAAGACTGTCTCTTGGCTCTTGAACTCAGATGGGACCTTGCCATGTGGAACTCGTCATCATCAGGGAGTGCCCAGGCACCCCAGCAATTTGCAGAAGGCTCTGCTTGGGTGGCCCAGTTGGCAAAGCTCAGCAAGCCGAGGTCTGTGGAACCTACGGCTGCCTCATAGTGCCTTTGCTTTGAATTCGACCAGGCTTGTTAAAACGCCTTTGGGAGTTCAGTGATGTGCGGGTCTTATCATACAGGTGGGATATTTTGTTGCGGGCACATTCCCGATCTCAGAGCTGTGTTCTTGGCATAACCTCCCCCTCCCCCCGCCCAACGATTCTCGGAGCCATGGCACCCCTCCCTATCTTGCCGAATCCTTCACCCAACAACACCCAACACTGCACTACGACCTCGAGGGCCTGAGAGGCACAACATGTATGGCGGCCGGAGGAAAACCGAATCTTCAGAAAACTCCGGTAATCTTTGAACCAGCTCAAGCTGCAGCTGCAGACTGCAGGTGATGGTCCAGGGCGTTGCGGAGGCCGATGCCTTCGGTTCCCTCACGGGGGCCGTCGCCACCAAGCTGGAGGCCGACAGCGGAGAGCCCGAAATAGCCCCCCCACAACCCATGAACACCCGTGGTATCAAAGTGTATCAAAATCACAGCCTGCTTTGGCAAAAATGCGCATATTCTTGCTCGTCTTGCGCCTCATTCTTACATCAGAAGTGATGCATTGCATGCTTGTGTACAGCAGGCAGAACACAAGTGGTCTCGGGCAAACGTGCAGGATTCTCGTCGCTGTTGATTTTGTAACCAGATCGTGTTGCAGCGTCGCTTCGCAGGAACAACAGGTCCACCACAGAATCGTTATTATGCGTTTGCACTCCTGGCGGGCTTCAACAGCTAAGTCAGGAACCCTGAACTCCGCAGTAAGCTTCTGGTACCGGGCTATCTTTGTGCATCGATCCCATGTACTTGGAGAGACAGCAACAGTCAATATTCACCAGCGCCAGACGAAACGGCCCTTGGAACGATCCACGCAGGCATCAAGCTTCTGAAGCGAACCTGCTTCCATTCTAACAGCACAACTTTAGTACGATGTGAACCGAATTCTGCACAAAGGGGCTCGGCATCTGTCTGAGCTACTACAATGCTCCCGTCACGGAGTGAATACAAGCGGAGGGACCTTGTAGTGTCTGCACGCATGCCATGCACGCGCAGTCTCTGCGGACATTGTACCGACCATCTTCGCAACTGACCTCTAAGACGCCACTTGCAAAGATCCAAAGCCAGGAAAGAAATTTTGTAGCCCAGAAGCACTTAGAAGCCCTAAATCCGCGCGAGAAAGACCAAGTTGCCAGGCAACTTTAAAGAGCGGTGCCAGCTTCGCGGTTGACCCGGTCTCCGGGAAGGCTGTCGTGCTTTTTCAGAGCAAGCCAAAGATTGAAATTGCAACTGCAATTGCCCCAACGCCACGTACATAGGTTGGCACCTTCGGAAGGGGTTGCTGCACCAGCCCTTCATGTAAGCCCTGCAGACCCTCGTTTTGTCTCGTTAGGCCTCGGTGTATCAAAGCACTGACATAGAGAAGGATAGATTGGGGATTTCAGGGACAGTTCTGATCCAGAAGCAGCTTCGAGTAAACTTCATCAAGTCGGGGTCAATTTGTTACTGGTATTCCCGTAAAGGACTGCACATTTGTTCCATGTCATAACCCAACCCCTTGCTTAAACTGTCCTGCTTTGGCGTGAGTTCCGGTCTCCGGCCTGCCTGTCGGTCGACCTTGCAAAAGGGGCTGTGTTGTTTACGGAGCTCAGCAGCTTGCATTCTCATATAGCTGCAGAGTGCTGGCTTCCACTGCTTCTGCTGTAGACACGGTGCCGCCCATCAAGTCCCCGCAATCTGCCCAACGTCGGGCAAGCTGCCGCAACTTCCACAAAGATCCACACGCACAAGGCCGTTGAGCATGTCGTAAACAGAATCCTGACAAAAAGCTACGGTGGAGTTCAGAACTTGTGAGGATGCAAGGCCTGAGTGACGAGATCAATTCATTCTTCACGGTTGCTACGGCCCGACAGTTCGGTGCGGTGATACACAATTTCGAAGCGAGCCCAACATATCCGAATCCCAGTGCTTCTAATCTCCAAAAGCCCACAACCTGACTGCTGCCCCTTCGCAGGTGACCGGCTCAGCGAGGGGTGCGGATTTCAGCCGCAAGGCCCTGCACATCTTCGGCACTGACCGCCGACCTTCCGTGTAGGAGAAAGCGGAGTCAGATCGAGGGTTCCCGCTTCTTGGCTTCCGCTGTGTATGATTTGCGTTTTGATCCCACCTTCTCCGATCCTGCGATCGTTCTAACACGGCATGCCACACCTACCCGGCACAAAACCAGCCCGCCCTCAATCAAGAAGGCGGGCGTTGACGTCGCCGTGTCTGCAGATGCGGTTGTCCGCTTCGGACTGGGTCCCGAGGCGGGGGGGCACTGAAACTCCCAAAGCAATGCATAAGTTCATGCAGAGAAGTGGGCTCTCTTGCAATGTAGGCCTTATTTTTGCAAGAAGGTGACAAGACAGTAGATACCCCGCTGGGTGCTGCCACTGTAATCACTGGCATTGTGAACCGCCATTCATGTGGTAACAAGTTGTGCGAAAGTGCCGCTGCACCTTCTTGATTGGCTGCTCACCAATGCACATTGGCCACCGGATCTTGCGAGTACTGCGTGCCAAAGAACTGACGCTGCCCTCATAGCCACTGCGTTTAGTGGGGGCTCTTAGGGCTTTCACGTGTTTTTTGTGAGACTGCCGCCTTTGGCATTGCGGTGCAATGTGTTTAGGACACAGTTCTCGAACAGCCCTCGCAGATTCAGAAACCTGCTTCAAGAGCCCTGAGTTATCCACACAAAGCAAGAGGACGCCCAACAGTATTTCTACAATAGTATGAAAGAAATGCAAGAGAATGTAGCAGATAGTCCCGTGCATAATCTTAGTATGTTGCCGCTCGTGTGCTTTCGTAGGTGGTGATTTGGTTGATCCCCGGTGTGCCGGTGACCATCAACCCCCGCGTGAGCCTCGAGATCCGCGCCGCGGGAGTCTCGGCCTTCGGCCTTTGAACCCAAAGAAGAGCAAGAAGAGAGGTGAGTGAGCCTTTAAAACAGAAGCACCCGAATGCCAAACATGCTCCGTAGAAAGGCCCCCCACAGCCCGAGGGTTTTTTGCTCTTCAAGGAACGATTACCTACAGCACGCAGACGGCCTCGGGCAGTCTGATCCAAAGTGGGGGCAGCCTGGAGTCTGGGGTCTCCCTGGTCACGAAGACAAACCACAGTCGCAGTGCTAACGATGCCGCTTGGCCTCACCTTAGGGTACTTCGTGTTTTGCCTTTCCTTGAAGACGACTTGAAGCTCGTTTCGGTTAGCTGGCAAGCCTTCAGGTGGATGCCTGCGTCGCAGTGGGTCTCAACCTCCTCGCAACTGCCGACCTGTCCGCATTGGGCATTCCGGACCAGATCGCGGTCTCTCTGGACACGCAATTCCTACAGGATGCCATCGAAGAAGCCATCCGTTACTTGGTGTCTTCTTGAGAGCTCACATTAGCTTAATAAGCGGTCTTATTAACGGACAGCCTAAGCCTGATGAAATCATCTCTTCCCTTTCGGGAGATCTGTACAGCACAATCTCCCTTCCTCTTGTACGTATGATCCTCCGTCTCCTGAAGCCCTCAAAGCTTCTGCTCTTCACCCAAAAATCGAAACCTTTACGCCCTAAAGCTTCCAGCCTTCAGCCGCAAACCCTTGGACCCTAAACCCTTGCATCCTCAAGCCTTTAGGCCCGAAGGCCTCGAACCCTTACACCCTTTGGACCCAAAGCCCGCTCAAGCCTAAGAAAGCCTTCAACCCTTGAAAACCCTTGAAGAAGCCCAGCAAAACAAAATCAAGACCCTCCACCACAGAAGAAGAGAAACAGACCTAAGCTTAGCAAAACCATCAAAGGAGCCGTGGCGGCGGCCGCCAGCCGACTTCTCACATCCGGCCTTTCGTGCTTCAGCCCCTCACCTTTTCTCCATCAAGGTTGTGGGTTTTGGGTTACTATCATGTGAGGGTAGTATAAGGTTACTATAATACGTAAGGCTACGATAGTATGAGGGCATTATAATACAAGGATACTGGAATGTAAGGGTACAAGGTTACTACAATATAGGGGTACTGTGATATAAGGGTACTATGAGGTAGTTTTAGGGTAATGCTGCACTCCACATTAGGGTATAGTATAGTTTGCGATATATAGTCTGTCTGGAGGTTCTTGGGTCCCCAAAATAATACGGCATCCTCGTAAACAGGACCCCAACAGGACCCTATTCTTAAGCGCTTCGCGGCACCCGCTTCGGCTCGGTTCCAATATGAGCAGGTGCAATGCAACCGTGGACAGCAGAGAGCTCGAAAGAAACCATCAAGAAAGGGGAGGGGGGGTGGGTTTATACATATATATATATATATATATGTATGTATATATAGATATGAGTCCACATATTGACTATATGTTTATATGCATGTATGGGGTATGCGTGGGCGCGGCTCAGACAGGTTGGTTCACTGGGGAGAGGAGAGAATCAGAGGTGTGGAAACAGCGAGTTTTTGTGAAAAACTCCGACCGCCCGGCCGGGGCCGTGGCGAATTTTGGAAAACTACTTGGAGGTTCATGGGTAGTTATAAGCAGGGTGACTATACTTACAAGCCATATTAGGGGACTTATAACCCTACAGATAACTACCCATGAACCTCCAAGTACTCGCATTGACAGCAGTGTAGGTTATGGTAGGTTATGGTAAAGAGTGTGTCATGATATGTTATAGTTTCAACCCACTATCAGATTCTTTAACAAAGCGTACAAAGCCCGCACACAACCATAAAGCCCAATGAAGCTCAAAAAGATATCCCAAGCATGCCAGGTTCCCTTGCTGCTGACAGAGTTCAGTCGGTCATCGACGAAGCCACTGAGGCGACGAGCGACGGGGAAAGAGAAAATTTGAAGGCTGATGAAGGATGTGGTTGTAGATTGGTGCGAATAAAGGTCCTGTAGGGGCGGGTCCCTTTATGGTTTCTGCAAGGGATCGTTTCTTTGAAGGGTTCGTTTGAGAGATGTAGCAGTTCAGGTTTATCGGGGAAATAGAACCAGGCGGTTCTAGACCGTGCTGAGGCAACCAGCAAACACTCGACGAACTGAGTGGATTTCGATATGAGCCAAAGGTCTTTCTTGGGCGTGCTATCCATTTTGCCTTACACAATGAACGGGCGTCTGTCTGTTCTGGATGCCAGGTGGCCGTAGATGCCTGGGACGCGCTACTCGTCCGAAGCAGAGGTTGAGAGGTTTCAGTGCCCTCGACCTAAGCGCTCAGGAGCAATGCACACTGGGGCTTGCCGAACCCCACACATCACTCATCTAGAAGTCTACCTGCAGTAGGAGCAGTAGTGGTAGTAGTAGTAGTAGTAGTAGTAGTAGTAGTAGCAGCGGTAGCAGTATTAGTCGTCGTGGTAGTGGTAGTGATAGTGGTTGTAGTAGTAGCAGTAGCAGTAGCAGCAGCAGCAGCAGCAGCAGGAGCAGGAGCAGGAGCAGGAGCAGGAGCAGGAGCAGGAGCAGGAGCAGGAGCAGTAGCAGTAGCAGTAGCAGTAGCAGTAGCAGTAGTAGTAGTAGTAGTAGTCGTAGTCGTAGTCGTAGTCGTAGTCGTAGTGGTAGTGGTAGTGGTAGTGGTAATGGTCGTGGTCGTGGTAGTGGTAGTGGTAGTCGTCATCGTAGTGGTAGAGGTAGTGGTAGTGGTAGTAGCAGTTGCAGTGGCAGCGGTCGTGGCGGTCACGGTGGCGGTGGCGGTGGCGGGGCGGTGGCGGTGGCGGTCGTGGTCGTGGTCGTGGTCGTGTTCGTGGTTGTTGTGGTTGTGGTTGATGTTGAGGTTGATGTTGAGATTGGGGTTGATGTTGTTGTTTTCGTCGTTGTTGTTGATGTTGTTGTTGTCGTCGTCGCTGTTGTTGTTGTTGTTGTTGTTGTTGGTGGTGGTGGTTGTTGTTGGTGGTGTTGGTGCTGCTGTTGGCATTGGCAGTGGCGCTGCTGCTGATGCTGCGGCTGTTCTTGGCGTCGTCATGATCCAGTCCCGGTCGTAGTTGTCGTAGTAGTTCAGTACTCCGGACATGGACGACGAGAGCCCAGGCTCATTCCGGACCTCAACTTCGACTGGGAGTCGCCGTCCATCCGCTTCCTCACGCAACAGCAATGCTGGGAGGCTTCGGGTTAAAACGTCCTTTGTGGGCCCTCTGGACTTAGTAGTTTTTTGTCCTGCGCCCGCGGAAGAATCCCCCCAAATCTCTCTGCAGTTCAGGTGGCGCAAAGCGCTAAAGGAACTACGGATGCCTGCAAACAGCGGATCCTTTGACATGTCTGGGTCGTCGCAACGCCGTGGGGTTCCTATGTTAAGTGAACCGAGACAAGCTAACTTCCATTGGCACGGGCTCTCCGGCTGTAGCGTCAAGTTCTTTTCATACGGCCACGTCCGCGGAGAGGCCGGATTCCTGCTGCCCACAGTCTGACCATAACAACAACAACAACAACAACAACAACAACAACTGGCTCAGGAAAGCAGAAAGCACCAAAGCACAAGAGAAAGCCTTGCCTGCTGCGCTCAGGATCTCCTGCTCGGCTGAGGGCCAGTCCTCAGACCCGAGCCCTTCCTACAGCGTGGCCTCCTTCGAGAAAGACCAGTCCAAGGTGCCTTGAGGTTGCCGGTTTGGGGTAAGTGCCAGGGTCCTTACGATGCAATTTGTGGACCTTAGGATTTGGAGTTTCGGTTTCTGCTGGTCGGCGGTTGAGGGCGCACGAGAGACAGACTTCCATCATCGGGTCCTTGGAACGTGGTTGAAATCACAGAAAGGCTTGAATACGTCGTACTTGTACGACTATTTCCTAGGGACCCCTGGCATGTCTGCAATCTACAGTCCTCCTAAGTTCCAGTCGAGTCGAATGTCTCGGGATCAGTCAGGCCAGTGCGTTTTTTCGGAGGCCAGTCTCCGGATTACGGCAGAAGTTCTTCAGTTTCTAGTTGCAGAGCACTTTGAAACGTCATGCCAGGAAGTGAGGGCCACGTTTTTCTGTTAAACTCTCAGGTCCTGGCACCGGAGTCCTACGAGACATTGGTCTACCAGCCGGACTTTACTGTGCAGACCGACTTCTGCGGGTGCCTTGATCCGATCGGATCACAGGAAATGGGAAGTTGAGTTCATCAAAGGTTGTTGAGGTGCGTTGCGATGACATTGATGGAGCGTTGCCTTCTTCTTGATTGAATCAAGTGTGCTGGTGATGTACCGGAGCGAGGGCCTCGTAGTTCTATCTGAACGTGTTGTGCTGCTTGCTGGTGTGCGAGTTGTGAAATTGAAACATCCGGCCTTCTGCCGTTCGTACTTGTGGCCTGTCTTTTCAATATGAGCCGCAAGTCTTGTTGGGAATACCAGAGTATTCACAGCTTTTACAAAGGCTCCTGATGAAGATCTTTGACACAATGAGTGCCGCACTTTCCCGAGGTTCATCAACTACGGCGACCGTGTTGTGCTCTCTTTGAATCCGGACATCTTCGATTCCACCTGCGGGCAGTACGGCTGCGCGGTTGGCTATGTTGACACGCTGGAGCACGGAAGAATGAAGTTTGCAGAGGGTGGAGACGAGCCGGATGCCTTCTATGTCTACGGCACGGAGCAGGTGGGAGTTTCCGAATATATAGAGGACCCCCTAAATAGTAGGATCCTTACTATCAAGACCCCAAAATAAGGTAACCCTATGTTCGGAAACTCCCAGGTGAAGCCCGGTGAGTGCGTAAAGTACGGCGATGAAGTCGTGCTATCCTGGAGTGAAGCCTCGAGTGAGGGCTGCGTTCCGGGGTCGCTCTCGCACTGCGTGGAACCCTGGATCTCTTGAACACCCTTCCAGCCTTTTCCCGCCTTTTCTTGTAGTGCAACAACGCTTCAGCTTCGTTTCATCAGTGTGGGGACAAGCGGCAAGCGCAGCAAAGGAGTCGGAGAATTGCGAGGTCTTTTCCAACGAGAACATGAAGGATGCCAGTCCCCGAAACTCGAGCCCCGAACCTGACGTCCTCGATGCCGAAGTTTGCAGTTGGCTGATTGGCCCCAACAAAACCCCATGATTAGGTCTGGCTTGGAGACTCGCTCATTGTTAGGGGGGAAGAAAGTGGATCAAACAGAGGATGAGAGCCTGACTTTCGCGCAGCGCCGGGCTCTCTGCGCAACGGCTTGCTTCGGTGGCCGGGCTGGTTTAGACAGCTGGGAAGGTGTGCTTAGACTGTAGGATGCGAGAGACAAATGAAATTTCCGCTTTCCCATGACAACCCTTCTGCGAGGATCCTGAAAGCTCATTTCAGCTTCAGTCGAACTCGCGAAGCAACACCTGGACATCTTTACAACAAGTATCAGCATCCCCCTAACTCTCAGCCAGAAACCGAGCCTTTTCCACTCCTCCACTCCCCGTCGTCGTCGTAGCAGTAGTATAAATAGCAATTGCTACGACTATTCCAAGGATCCTTTAAGTAGGAGGCTACTGCTACTGCTACAGCTACTGCTGCCACTACTAATAATAAGAATACACTGGCCAATAATTATTACTACCACTGCCACTACTACCCTTACTACCCTTACTACCCTTACTACCCTTACTACTACTACTACTACTACTACTACTACTACTACTACTACTACTACTACTACTACTACTATCACTACTACTACTACCACTTCTTACTACTACTTCTTATTGTTCCTTCGACGACCCTCCACCGCCCTGACCACCCCGACCCGACCCAAAACCCTAAACCCTGTCCCAAAAAGGAAGCCTCCGGGGCCTAGCCCTGGACTTCAGCGCCGAGGGCGTCTGCCGCTGCTCCCGCGAGGCCGAGCTGCCTCAGGACTCTGCGACGCTCGGAGGATGGGGCTTCGGGTTTAGGGGTTTAGGGTTTTAGGGTTTAGGTGGACTTGGCTGTGTTCATATTCATATCAAACATGTATGGACCACGACTACGACCGCTCGCTTCGTCGATTGTGACGCATAAAGCTGCCGGCGATACATGTCGAAATCTGTCTGACCTACAAGTTCTTTTGTGTATGATGTGTCCAGTTTTGCGGCATTCCCGTTGATTGGTGCAGGTCTGGGGATTAAGCAGGAACATATTATGCATGTTATGCTGCTGGCTTCTCTAGATGCTTGACGCGGTCGAGACTGCTAGACTTTCGTCCAAGCTATCGCGGCAAGCGGAAGTCTGCGCAACTAGTTGCGATCCTCCGTTGCGACAAGTTAAGGACATCAAGCTTCTGCACTCGACCTGCCCAATCCGTCGAGTGTGTCTCGCTTGTGCTGGCTGGCAGCTTTTCTCTTCACGGTTTGCCCGGAGAGCCCTGAGCAACAGCAAAAGATCTTTAAACATATCAAACATCCCTCTAACATTTAGGGAGTTCTCAGCTATGCGGGGCGTTGGGTTCCGAACTGAAGTGCTGCTAACGGAAAGAAACAGCATTTCAAACCGTTGTGAAGTCAGCCGGAAGCAGTTTGAACAATGCATCTGAGGCATCGCTGGGCAAGCTGAAGCTCGGCTGCATCTGAGATAGACTTTGCGAAAGGCAACAGTAAAGCTCGCGCATGCCAGCGTCTTCTCATTGTGTCCTACATTGATGTTAGTTGTACTAGGGTCCGTCTGTTTTGACACACTGATGTTTTTCTGAAGCATGATATTCCAATCTGCCAAATAAAAGGAAGAAAGATCCTAAAAGAGGTTTCGAGAAGTCATTGGTCCGATGCCTTCCTTTCTTGAGACCTAGTCTTCGAAGCTGAGCCGAAGGGCTTTCTGATCACCCCGAAACCCTGAAACCCCACAAACAGAATCTGTCGCAACTCCTCGGGCTTAAGCAGCAGCCATGGAGGAGGCGCCCTACATCTTTGAGAGGAGCTACCTTACCCAGGCCGCATGTGCCGGCGCTTGTGTCTCGGGCTATGTTTAGAAAACGACAAGCATCTGCTCAGGTCATGGTGGTAGAACTGCAACATTAAGATAGCTAGAGCAGCTAGGCAGCAACCGCACGTCGGATCTCCACAGTGAGTCTGTTTGCGTGATCCTCGTCTTGAAAGCTTTATCAAGTCTTAGACATCGACCTTTTGACAAAGGCTTCGGTGCCGGTGGGTATGCCTTCGACTTCACGTTGACGCCGAGAAAAGACAGTTGCCGCTGCGTGGGCAAAGGAGTCCATGGCGCAAAGCCGGGCCTCCTACCGCTCAGCTATGTCGCACTGTACAATTTCGACGACATACGAAAGACTCAAGATGTATAGCAGCTCTAAGCCGCAGAACTTGTGTTATCTTCTTTCGAAGACCTCGACGTTCCACTTAGAAAACCCCTGGAATTGAAGCAGTTGACAAGGCGACACATCCCTAAAGGTCAGTGACGTGCCTCCGCCTTATGGTTGAACTATTGGTATCCCGCCTAGCTTATGTTGGTAGTGAATTGTTGCTTGCATAAAGCGAAGTTTCCTGAACATGGTATAGAACAAAACAACATGGTGAAACAGAGTATATTACGAAGTATTACGATATACTACGTGACACAGCATCATATCAAGAAGCTTCAGCATAATCGAACACACAAACACAAAAATGGTATTAACAGCAACACTCAGATAGCTAGTAAAAATAGCAACAATCACAATAACAGTAGCGAGTAACTTTAGTAGCAGTATAACACTTACATTTTAGGGATGTAACATTTACTATGAGTTTTGCCTCAAAGTTTATTGATAACTGTCAAGCATCATACACAGCTAAGAATGAGAAAGTAAACTATGTTGCTGTTATTATAATATAACGTAATGTAATGTAATATAGTGCTAAAACATGAAGTAACGGAAAATGTACGTCATAATTTGATACAAGGTCATGTATGCAATACAAGATATTCTGGTATATCAGACTGTAGTATGATACCAGAAAGTGTAATGTAGAAACAAAAAACCATATCATAATGAATCGAACAGAGCGGAATGGCTTTTAATAGAATCGACAAAAACGCAATACAAGCGGTCAACATTCGATGAAAACATTGTTGAAGCTAGCATGGTCTATTCCAGTATAGTACAGTAGAGTCCAGAATAGTATAGTGTAATGATATAGCATAGTACAGTAGTGCAATGATATAGCAAAGTACAGTAAGGTATAGTACAGTATCGTATAGAATGGCATTTTGCATTATGTGAAATTAGGTTGAATTCCTTAATTGACGGGTATTGGACTCTCAGGGCACGTTGTTTTGTAACGTGACATGACATCACGTTTCTAGCACTCCGGTCGTGCTTGCATTGCATGGTTGGAGACAACATCTTCTTTTCGAAGCAGCGCACGAGAACAGCGGGGCCTGGATGGTTCTCGCGTCCCCCACACGAGGTGGAAGCGGAACCCCAAGCTCAGAAGTGGGGCACATTGCTTGAGCTTACAGATGGCAGATAGCTCTATGATTAGCTTGTGACCTTGGGAATGACCCTACTTACTACGTACCCTGAACCACAAAGGCGAAGAAGAAACCTGAAGCATTTATAGACACCTCTAAACAAAAAAGCGTAGGCCCTGAGCTTTCAGTTCATCCTGGAATCCTCTTCGCTTCCACTCGGCCGTCCAGGAGAGGCGCTGGTGGACGCTGGAACCTTCGGCCGCCGTTACTGCACCCGGGCACAAGAGACACTTGGCCCGTCGGACGTTAATCATTGTTTAGTGAGTTTAGTGCTTCATTAGAGCTTTTGGGCCTTCTGGTGTCTACAGTTACTAGTAAGGATGTTACTATTTAGGTCCAAACAACTAGGGTCACCTGTTCTCGGAAACCCCCAGATATCCTCACAGCGCTACCTTTTGCCAGGGCTTCAGCCAAGGATCTTCCAGGTCTTCGACTCCGGTCGATGCGAAAGCTTTGGATGGAGTTCCGCCGCTCGGGCAGACCGTCTTTCTCGCTGCTTAGGAACTTACCTTCGGTTAGTAGGGAATGGAGGAATGGGGTGCAATTATAACTACTATTACTACCATTCCTTCCATTCCCTACTAACCAAAGGTAAGGGAAGAGTTTTGCATCGAAGAGGAGAGGAACTGAGAGAGTTAGAGTCTGGGAGGGTCTTTCCGTACACCACCGGAATCTCTCTGCTTGGAAAAGAAACAGAAACACACAGCAGAGCACAGCAGAGGCAGAGCGAGGAGCGAGGCTCCCAAAGGTCCCCGACTGCCCCTTCCCAGGTGTCAACTGCGACGCAATGCGCAAGAGCAGCGCGATTCGTGAGCTGCTTTGCTGGGAACCTTTTAGATGCCCGAATTGCTTTAAGTTGTGAGCCCAGTGATGTGTTTCCCATTCTCAGGCTGGCCGTGCAGAAACGATTGCCAGGCAATCGATGGCGGTGGCATCAATCCCGTGGGTTGCATCGGCAACCAGGAAGGCCACCCCTCTGACCCAAGAGTAGTCTAGACATGGCCGCAGGCTTGATCCCGCATCCCTGAAACCCTAAGCCGGAGACTCGGAGACCCTCCCCCGCTGCCAGATGGCCTGCAATGGAACTTCCGGACAACCGGCGCTCCTGCTGGGGACGGCTTCAGCCAGGTGCCGCAAAGTCAGGGGTCTGCAATCAGAGCGAGGATGATGACAAGAATGGCCATGGCTCAGCTACTCAAAGTCAGGGCAGTGACAATACCACTAGTGATCACGACATCTTCAATCTTTTTATCAGTCGGCACCAACAAAAATTTCATCACTTATGGCTGCGAGAGCCTCATGCAGAAATCCGGGAGTCCGTGTGTGTTTGTGTGTGTGTGTGGGGGCGGATGTGTATATGTATTTACTGGCTGCTTATGGATGTGTTCATTCAAGAATGATGTTGCAAGTTGATGATGTCTGCATGTGCATGAAGCCTTCTGCTGCACTGCGTCGCTTGACAAGCTCTGCAATTTCGTTTTTCGTACGTGCAAATATGAGACATTATGAGACACTGTGTATATACATACCTGATACACATACATCTACATATGTATAGCACATACATGGAAATATGCATGTGCATGTGCGACTGTGTGTATCTGTGTGTGCGTGTGTCTGTCTGCCCGCCTGCCTGGCTGGCTGCCTGGCTGCTCTGGCTCTGGCTGGCGGCTGGGGCTGGCAAGCTGTCTGGCTCTTTGTTTGTCCGTCTGTCTGCCTCCACAAGGTAGTTGAAAGTTGTTGTTAAGAATATCCATCTCCGTCTCATCTCCGGACGTGGTGACAGGTGTGCTACCGGACCGCAAGAGAGACTTTCAAGCAATTTGCCAATGGATCTTCATGCGTGGCAACTTCTCCGCAGTCAGCTTTTCCAAACGTGGGCATTCACAGTTGCAAGACTTATTCTACTGCGCACGTCAAACGCGAGGAACAGGGGTGGAGCATCGTGCAGGATGCGGAGCAGTGCGCCAGGGCTGCCAACGCCTTGGGCCTAAGGTGCAGGGGCAAGGAGCAGAGCAAGCATGCAATCAGGGAGGGACCCTTGAGCCTGAGACATCCCTAAACCGGAAACCCCAAAGCCCCACGTGTCCATGTGAGCTCTTGCAGCCTTTCGAGGAGGCCAACACTCCACGATGCGAGAGCGAGCCTGCGTCGGACCCGACCCTCCCAGCAGGTCGGGCCGGGCAGGAAGGGAATGCCGGAGTGGGTCCCCGACTCGAAGAGAACTCCTTCGAGGATTCATAGATGGGTTCTATATACTATAGGGGCTTTATTGATCAGGGTAGGGTTTTGAGGTAGCTTGTGCTGTAGTCATGTTGAGGAACCCCTGAGGTTGCTATGGAGATGATGGGTTCCTAGAGTTCAACCCTTACCTCGACAGCAACGTGTCTTTCGTTGGCCAGACGAGCAGCGTTGGCGACTGGGCTTACTTGGGACGGAAACTAGTAAGAAGAATAGTAGTGGTTACAGGGACAATATGAAGAACCAGAACAGCTACAACAATACGAAAAACAAAAAACAACAGACCCCACTCAAAAACAGAACCCTGTCGACCATGAACAAAGGTCCGGGTACATACACATCACAGTCAACAGACAGAGATGCGAACAAAAGGACATGTTCGTCGGTAGCATTTCTATGGATTATTAAGGAGTGTGAAGGTGGGCCGGTGGTGAAGAAAAGCAGGAGTACTAGAGGATAGAAGGAGGGAGACAGGAACGAAGGCCCAGGTTGCAATGTTTGCGGCCGGTTGAAGATCCGGGTTTTGGGCAAGCTCACATGATTCAGGATACTGTAGAGGTTCAGGAGTAGCGCCGACTCATATACCCAATAAAGCATAATGCCGTGATCGCTTTCACGCAAAGATCCAACATGAAAATGACCAGCACGTCTCGCCCCATCATCACATCAGTTCGTCCGAGGCAGGCAGTAGTTCATATGCATTCTCCTCGGAAACCGTCTAGGAAGGAACATGCGTGGCCTTAGCTTGGATTTTCTGCGTGTGTCAACAGTCAAGATCAGCATTGTGCACGAAGTTGACGACAGGCCCTTCAAAATGAAGTTCTCCACTACTAACCTGCCACAAAGCAAAGACCGCGAATGACTTGCCGCAGAGCAGGACCCTTGAAAAATTGCAGTCAGCACAGAAGCCTGCAAGTTAGCCTTCCCCTGAGACCCCCTGCCCAACAGAAAGCCAATGCAAAGCGCAGCGGCGCAGCGAGGCTACGTCTGCGTCAGAGTCCTGGAAAGCGAGGAGTATGACGTTCCACGCGTGTGTGCTGACGGCCAGCTGCAGGCTGGGGGCCCTTTCCTCTTCCAGAGTCTCAGCTCAGAAAGCTACTTGTCAGTATCGGTGTTCCGTACATATCAGACCCAAAAATGCTCAGTTGACTCAGGAGGAAGATGGGAAGGACCGACGCAGCTGAGATGTCATGTGCTGCAGCCTGCTTTGCGAGCGGGGGTGTGGCTTTTGACATCGCCTTCGCAAACACCCGCGACAGCTGTCGCTGCGTGGGCACCGCGGGCGCGCAGAGCCCATCGGACGATCCGGGCAATGGCAAGAAGCGACGCTACTGCGCTAAGCCCGCACCTTCTGCAAGCTGCGGAGCTGGAGAGGCTCCAAATGTGCTCGCGGAAGATCTTCTCTTCGAAACGAGCTGGACTGACGAGAAGCTTTGTGCTGGAGCTTGCTATGCTGCAGCGTCTGACCCAAGCCTCGTGGCCTTCCAGGTCGATTCAGAGGAGAGTGAAAGCTCTTGCCGATGCTTTTATCACAAGAATCAGGCTCCGGTCGTGGGGCATCCGACCAGGCAGTACTGTTCCTTCCCCGAAGCTCAGAGAGTGTCGCTACTGCAGATCGAGAGCGAGAACACGGCTGCAACGACGAATCTCGTCGAGCAGACTGCGCAGGCGCAGGAAGACATCCCACGTGCCTGCTCTGCAGGGCAGACGCAGCCTTATGGCCCTTACCTGTTCCTCCGCGAGTTGAACAACGAGAAAGACTGCGCGGGGGCCTGCTTCACAGCGGGTGGTGTAGCCTTCGACTACACCTTGAAGCTGAAATCCGACAGCTGCCGCTGCGTGGGCCTGGAAGGCGCCAAGAACCCCCGCAGCAACACGGGCGGGGACAAAAGGATCTACTGTGCAAAGCCTCAGGGGAGCTCCTGTCGGCTTGGGGAAGTGCCGGAAAGCCCGGACACGGCCTCTCGCATCGAATGCTTCGGTTTAGAGTTTGGTCTTATCATCTTGTCTCTGCGTCTTTTCTCCTCGCAGCGTCGAGCTTCTTTTTGGAAAGCCGCTGCTCAGCCGAGGTTCTGTTTGTAGCCAAGTTTCCCACTGAAGCAGCCTGCGGTGCGCCACTCGGATCCGGTTGGATGAACTGGTGACATGGGAGCCGGACTTATAATTTTGGGGATAGGATGCTGCACACGATCTAAAGCAATATGCACAGGATGACAGTTGTTGTGCCTCGGAGAACTGTTCCGCAGACCCTCAAACCGTGACTCCACCCTGAACCTGAAACCCTAACCCCCAAGCCTGAACCCTTAGCATCGGGTATTGACGGTATATTCTAGGGTTCATATGTTTTAGGGCTTTCCCAGGTTCTGCTGGGCCGCCGGAGGCATCGCCTCGCAGACGGGGCGCGTGGTCTTTGACTACACCACCCAAGTCCGAGACGCTGGGCTCATAAAATCGCTCCTTTGGGGGGGTTTTCGAGACGTCAAGCAGCCTTCCGTAAAAGAGAGGGATGTTGGAGTCTCTCTCAAGAGGAGACCCAGAGGCCCAGAATCGCTTTCCTTCGTTCTTTGGCGTAGGCGCTCCGGTTGTGTGGAAGCGAACAGCCCATTCCCGCACCATATGCCCAGAAAGACAGCTGCCGCTGCGTGATGCCGGGGCAAGCACTGACAAGACGGCCAGGAGGTGGAAGACGCCCCTCAGCTGAAGTGGAACACACTGTTCACGGTTGTCCAACCTCCGCTTCTTGGTCCAACTGTCCGACATGCCAACACGCCATGGTCAGGGTTCAGGCTCGGGTTGGCGATGACTCACTTGTGAGAGAAACCCAGCCGAGGCATGCTTTGCAGATTCAATGACGTGTTGTCGCCATTTTGCGGCGCGAGTGGCTGCAGTGTCGGCTACGACGGTGATTTCATGCAATTCAACCGTGGATCAGATGTCTCGTTCCAACCACGGTTCTTCCTGCGGGCACCGGCTGGACTCAGCAAGGACGGCACCTGCGTCTACTTCGGCGACAGAGTTGCCATCGCCGCATCTGCAGATCCAGCCGAGACGGACTGTGGCTGGTACGGGCACGGCCCTTAGTCCTCCGCACTCAAGTCGGTTCTGATGTGCTAGTATATTGGCCCCTAACTTGATTTCAGCTTCGCTTGAAGCTCGCTCATGCCTGCACATGCCTGCACAGTCCTGTTGGTTGAAGCTTTGATTCCCAAAGCCTGTTGAGGACTTAGGGTTTTGCAAAGGTTCTGAGGATTTCTCAGCTTCGGTCGGTTTTTTGACTTTGCATCTTTGCTTCAGCATCTGCTGCTCTGGGATGTCCCAGGTGTAAGGTGGCCAGCGTCACCGAGGAGAGTGTGTCAGTGTTGGTCTTTTGGGGCCGGTAGTTGCGGATCCTGTTCTGTAGGAGGGCTGCGCAGTAGCCAGGCAGACCAAAGCCCCCCTATTTGGTGCCCTGAGGAGGGCGAGATGGCCTTCCAGGAAGGAGGCGAAAGCCCAACGCTTTTTTACCTGCGCCCAGCTCTGGCAGAGTCGGGCTCCTACGACGATCCATCCAGAGACTCCCAGCTCTGAGCACCATCTTGCCTGTAATTCCCGTAGGGTTTTAAAGAGCGCAGGGTTTCAAAGAGAGTTTGGACTTGGGCTTAGGATCCAAAATTCGGCTTCGTGTGGCTTTAGGTACTGCGCTTTACCTACTTCAGTTTTGTACGGACGGTGCTGCAGAAGATTGAGGCGAAAGCCCTCTCTAGCAGCCCTGTCCTTTCATGGTGCTTAGGTTTACGGTAGCCTCCTGATTCATGTAGCCCTTGTCCTTCACAAACATGAAAAGTAAAATGGGACCCTTTAGGAGGGGTTTCTTGATCAGGGGGGTCTAGACAATTCTCTTAATCACGTCTCCAAAGGAGACAACATGCGCGCGGCACATTCTTTAGGTGCCGCATTGGCAAAAATGACAGCTTGGTGCAATGCGTCATTCCAGTAGAGTTCAATACAGTATATGCCATAGAAAAACAGAATGGTAAAAGCTCTCTCTCCAAGGGCCCGGGAATAGGAACCCTTGGTCTTCGTGTTCAGGACTTACAACTTAACAACCCCTAAGCCTGGAGCTGGCCGAAACGGCTCCCTAAAGTACCAGAAACCGAACGTTTAGGGCTGTAGGCTGTAGGGTCATGTTCAGGGTTTAGGGCCTAATTTAGGGTGCAGACAACTTACAGTTTAGGGCTGTCGGGTCTAGGGCTTGCAACAGTTTGGTCATGTAACTCTCAGCCTGCTGCCTATTCTGTCGGAGACTACGAGACCCTAAAACCCGAAGGAGCCAGCCGGGCCTCGACCGCCCCCTCCCGGCAGCTCGGCCGTTCAATCGGGATCCAGCTTGACAGCAACACGATTCGAATGTTGGTACTATTTAGAACAGCAAGGGGAAACTACTGCCGTAAGGGACTGCAGCAAGGCTACTACTGACTGATCTAAGGGAGAGGGATGGTGGGTCGTTGGGTTCGATGCTTTTGCAACGGGGTTGGTTTAGTTCGGAATCCAGGAGAAGCCCCCCAGCCCACTGCCGCTGCTTCTGCGCGTTCTCCACATGCAAAAGCCGAAGCTCTAAACCTCGCGTCTCAATGTAAATCCCAAATACCAGGCGCTCAATCCAGAGATCGCAGACCCCCACATTTGGACAACCTACACTCTAACAACCACAACCTGAGGTTCTGGAGTGATGTGCTGGGAGCCCAAGCCACCTTGCTGTGACGTGCAGTGCCGTCCGCGGTGGTCTTGGCAGTACCACGCCCAAAGCCCTAGACCCTGCTCCGTAAATATGCCGCCTTTGCAGGTCCTTCCTGCCACTGCGGTGTTGCAGTGTCAGGCTGGGCCTGATGGGACCCCTTCTGAAGTTCTGCAGGACATGTCACTAATGTCCTCTATAATCCCTCAATCCTCTTATGCTGTACCTCTAGAATCTTCAATGTACCCCTTGGGTTTGTCAGGGTATCCCTATTTTGAGAAACTCCGCCTATCGGCAGAAGGGCTTTGGGATAACGGGAGTGAAACGATTATTGGACTCAAGGGATTGCGCGATTATCGGAAACCAGGAATTACAGGTGATTATAGGGAAAAAAGGAACTATGAGAATAGAATCATCCGAAGAATCTGTATCGAAACGGCAGGGGTGCTGTGGATGGGCATGCTGTAAAGAGATGTCTCAGTAACAAAATCCTTCTTTGGGACGTAGATATGTCTGGGCTTGAAATTTCTCAAAGTGGGCCATAGATTTATTGGGGTGTGGGGGAGGGAGCGGGGGGCTTCACCTTAGCAGCATTGTGGGTCCCGAAAAATATCACCCCAACGAAACGCTTGAACTTAGAGCCCTGCAGCAAACCTCAAAGATTAAGGCCCAACCCCAACTCCAAATGCCATCCTCAACTGCTCAATGACCGACGATCTCGTGTCACAGGCGGCACGCGCTGAGAATCTCTTCAACTTGGTGAAGCAGGTGTGATCTCAGGGTCTCGAGTACTTGGTGGAAGGCGGGGTGGTGTGAAAAGAGGGTAAGACAGGAAGTACATTGGGAGTAAGTGGGGTTCGTCAAAGATTGAAAGAACACAATCTATGTTACGGAGCTTGGGAAGTATAAGGGTCTAAGGTCAAAGGCCAATGCTCAAGCAAAACGACTAGGTCGATTGCCAGGGGTTTTGATAGGATTTGGTGGTCAGGATAGGGGCGCAGGGGGCTTGATATTGGTTCTGTATAATTTGTGCCGTATTGCGGCTATTCCTGTTGTACGAGTACGTGGAAGGCAGTTGCCACATCATTGTTTTCTCAAATTAGATCTCTGGCGAGTGTCTCTAGCCCAGTGGGGTGTTGCATCGGGGCATTTTGTTCCTAAGAGCCTTTCAACCCGTGCATGGCCCTTAGTAACGATTAGGACCATCTTTCATATTGCCAAAAGACTACAGTAGGATCCTTGGTACCGTGGCCTCTACCGTAACCCTAGCTACTGGCAACGGCTCGGCAGATTCCGGCGCAGGACAGCGATGACGACGATGAGGACGTCCGGTTTTGGGCTGACGAGTTGGAACGTATTGGCCAGAGTTTACGTTTTGGGTTTTATAGTCTTGGTGTTCGAGTTTTAGGATGCTAGGGTTGGGGCCTTGGATCCAGGACGTAATTAGGACTTGCGAAGCAGGGCATTTGATTTACCGCTGATGGATCATGGCATGGAGTTGAGTCTAGTCTTTTGTTGCATGAAAGATAGCATTTGGGGCCCCTCCGCTCTCTGCACATCTGTACATCTCTGTACCCTCTCAGAGGCGCGTAGCCACAGCTCAAATTTTTTGGCCCACCGACAAAGCCCCAAATCTACCCAAGCCCTAAAATGCTAAACCCCCCAAAATGCAGAACCCTATGCTCTAAACCCGGGCGCAGCTGTAAGCACCGATGTCATTTCGCCATTCAGGCTCTCACGGTCCAGTTTTTGTATAAATTCAGGCTCTTACCGAACCGCCTCAGCAATGCCTTTGAAGATGAGGCAAATCTTGATGATCCTGACCTTCCTTGCGACAAACGCAGGAGCTCAGGATTGTGGACGCCAAGCCGGATGCCCCAAGTCCGGTGGTCTCGATCTGGTGCAAATCCGCTCAAACGTGGGCAAGGAATCCGTTGACAAGGACGGACTTGAGGATGAAGTGGATGCGGATGCTGCTGATGAGGAGGTGGAATGCGAGGTCAGCAGCATCGCAAAGGACTACTACACCAAGCCACCAGAGCATGAGTTTACTTGTCACATCGACGGAGAGTCAGACGAAGACGACTTGGAATTGGACATCGACGGCATAGAGGACGCGCACGAGCGCTTCCATCCCCAAACGGGCGATCGTCTTACCCTCCGCGGCCGGCGATTTCGTCGGCGTGGCCGAAGGGCCTTGAGGGTGAGAGGCTTCAGGGTTCGACGACGTGGCAGGGGAAGAAGGGCCAGCTTTCTGCAAACACTGGAAAGCGAGGGCGTGGAGACTCGCACTGCAGCTGTTCTTATGGTGCGCTTCCTGGATGCAAACGGAAACCTGGTCCCTTCCAGCATGGACAGCGTGGAAGAGCGCAAGAGCTTTTCCATCGGGGTGAACAACTCCCTGTTCGGTATCTTCGACCATACCAATTCGCAGACGCATGCAGGAGCATGGCATGACTGTTCATACGGTAAGCTCCAGCTGCAGTTTGATGTGGACCAGGCAGAGAACGATCTGGCGCAGGATGTCCCAGGTGAGAAGGCTGACGTCTTCTACATTGATGTGCCTTTGGTTTGTGATTCAAGCACAGACCCTTACTGCCCAGGTACCTACGACTCTGTCAATAATTGTGGAAGCGCCGAATTCTATGGCTGGCCCAGGTACGCATTCAAGAAGTTTGCGGACACCAAGCCAGGACTTTCCAAGTCCACATGGCAGCATTGGGTTGTCATTTTCCCCAGGGACGTTGTGAAGTGCAGCTTTGTGGGTATGGGCAACGTGGGATGCTCCCGCACCAATTGCTACTCTTGGATTCCTCATGACTATTCAACCAAAATCCAAGACTTCACCCACGAGCTTGGGCACAATCTTGGACTAGCTCACGCCGGCATCAATGGAGGCTCGGAATATGGAGATCACAGCTGTGCTATGGGCTTCTGCTGCACCGTGCGCTGCTACAACGCCCCACATTCTTACGAGCTGGGGTGGCTAACGCCGTCGCTCGAACTCAACGGTGACAACTTTCCCAGCCAGCTTTCGAGTGTGCCATTGCGCTCCATGTCACTTCACAGTGACGGGGCAATTGCCATCACTGCAGACTGGGTGTCACCGGTCAATGTGTACTGGGTACAGCTCAAGACTGCGCACTCCTACGATGCCTACATGAGGTCAAGTTGGCGCAACAATGTGCAGATCAAGAGGTGGAACAAGGGTGGTTACGAGGTCAGCCAGCACTTGAAAACCTTGACTGCTGGCCAAAGCTGGACTTCAGACGATGGGGAGGTCATGGTAACTGTGGAGAGCATTGATACCAGCAGCACCATGACCGCCCTACTCACACTAAGCCGGCCAACGGCCACAACAGCCACGACCACGACCACAACAACCACAACAACAACCACAACAACCACAACAACCACAACAACCACAACAACCACAACAACCACAACAACCACAACAACCACAACAACCACAACAACCACAACCACAACGACCACGACGACCACAACGACCACAACCACAACGACCACGACGACCACAACGACCACGACGACGACGACCACAACGGCCACGACGACCACAACGACCACAACCTTTACAACTACTCCCACGACTACCACCCCTCCGGCCACCACCTCTGCTACTACCGTCGTCACGACTGTGACCACAACCACCGCTACAACAACGGAAACGAGCACCCTTATGACCACGGGCACAACCACCACGGCTTCTTCGACCGGCACCTTCACAGGCCCTGCGCTTCTTGAGGTCGGAAGCATCACCATTGCAGGAGACAGCGCTGGTTGGCAAAGCTTTGCATTCCGGAATTCTTTCGCGGAGACTCCTCTGGTGGTGGTATTGCCAGGCATGGGTGCTGGAGGAGACACGGTTCCTGCAAGCGTGAAAATCCGAGACGTCTCTTCAGCGGGATTCCAGGCCTTGGTTGTGGTTCCACCCGGCCCAACTTCCAACCGCTCCTCCATGACTGTGGCTTTCATGGCGGTGCTTGCAGGGAGCCACACACTGCCGGATGGAAGTCACCTTGAGGCAGGGAAGGTCTCAACTTCGGCCATGCAAGTGGGAAGTTCCTGCCAGCTTGCTGGGGCAAGCCCCGCATGGGATGTGGTGAATTTCGCGACCACGTTTGCAGCTCCACCGGCTGTTGTGACCATGCTGCAGACAGCCAACAACGAGCAGGGAGCAGTTCCAACCTTCTTCTCAAAGCCCTGGCTGACTGTTGCATGTCAGGCCGTGTCCTCGACTTCAGTCTCCATTGCTTTGGAGTCAGCTGAGACCTCGCAAGTCGGTACCGTTACAGCTGCTGAGGAGGTTGGCTACGTGGCTATGTCGGTGGGGCAAGGCAGCTTCACGGCCGGACTGCAAGATGTCCAGTACTCCGCAACATTGACTGGGGACGTGGTCAAGGGCTTCGATGACGGGGAGACGACTGTTACACTGCCGATGGCTTTTGCCAGCTCACCACTGGTTGTGGGAAGTCAAGTGTCGCGAAACGGCAACAACGGGGGTTGGCTCCGGCTTTCAGCAACCTCTGCTTCCTCGGTGAATCTATTCATTGACGAGGACCAGTACTGCGACACGGAGCGAATACACATTGGTGAAGCGGCAAGTCTTATCGCTTGGTCGGGACCGCTCGTCCTTGGATTGCTTCCGACGACGACGACAACCTCAACAACCACTGCGACATTGAATGGCATGGCGACCCTGGAAGTTGGTGAGGTGACAGTACAGACCGGAGGGTGGGCAAGCCATTCTTTCAGCGTGCCTTTTGCTGAAGTGCCAGTGGTGGTCCTTGCCCCATCGGCACAAGTGGATGAGCCTGCATCAATCCGCATCAAGGACGTGACCAAGACTGGCTTCCAAGCAGTGGTTGCGAAGCCCACCGGCAGCAGCGTTGCCGGCGCATCCATGACGGTCTCCTTCGTGGCGGTGGTCCCGGGAGTTCGGCAGCTCCCAGACAGCGGCTTGTGGCTCGAAGCTGGTCGAATCTCCACTGCCAAGCTTGCGGCTTCAACGAAGTGTAGGCCCTCGGGCGGACTGTCGACATCATGGCAAAAAGTGGACTTCCAGAATCAGTTCGTGGAACAACCGGCCTTTCTGACGACGATCCAGACGGTGAACAATGAAGTAGGTTTGCCGTCAGCGAATTCAGAGCCATGGTTTACAGTGGGTGTCAATTCCGTGAACCCCGCTGATGCGTGGGTGTCGCTGGAGATGTCTGAGACTTCGCAGCATGGAGGCTCTGCTGTGAACCTGGACGAGGAGGTCGGATGGCTCGCTATCCAGCAGGGTGTCCACACATTTCAGGTGTCAGGCCAAACCGTCCACTGCGCGGCTGTCTACTCCTCCAGAAGCGTGAGGGGGTGGGATAATGGCCCGGTCACTGTGTCCTTCGGTGCTGATATGGGCGGAAGTCCCTTTGTAGTTGCCAGTCAGTCGAAGAGGTTTGGAGGCGATGGCGGATGGGTCCGTGTCACGGGTACCTCGTCCACATCGGTTCAAGTCGTGATTGATGAGGATGTCAATTGCGACACCGAAAGGAAGCACACCAACGAGGAAGTCAGCATATTAGCCTTCTCTAGTGGCTGCACCCTTCAGTGAGAAGAAGGCACCTGAGGAATCGGGCGGCAACGTACTGCTCGAAGCCCAAGGCGCTGTTGGGTCCTCTAGGGCTTACAGTCTCTGACCCTGGACGGGCTCGAATCACTTGCAAATCTGAATTCATGAGTGTCTAGTGAGGGGTGGATCATTGCAGGGTGCGCAGGTGCTGACGTGTTGAAGGCACGAGTCCTTCACTTGCTTGGCGTGTCTCTTGACGCTGGCATTTGTGAGAGTCCAGAGAGCAAATTGGCGATGCGTCTCCAGCCTGCAAAGCGCAGACTTATCCAAAGCTTTCGCACTGTGTAGCTGCTTCCGAACTGCTCCCTAAACCCTAAACCCCCTTTTGATACCCTACGCCAGCGAGGAGATCGGCCTGCAGCGCCACTGCGGGGATTCTGCAGCGCGGCGGAGGTCTGCCCTCGAAAGCGGTTGCAGGCAATAGCTGACATGGAGGAACACTTTCTGAGCAGGACTCGGATGTGGAGGAGAAGAGGAGGAGGCGGGTGGGTGAGTTGCTTCCTGTCTTGCCCTGCTTGTTCTTGAAAGAAGTTTGGAAGGACCTTCAACTCGCCTGCAGGAAGGCAGTGGCATGGTGAGCATAATCTTCGCAGGTGCCATGGACGTGGAGTTCAGGCTGGCGCAGCAGCTCCACAGGCACGCAAACGTTGCGGAGAACGTCCATAGCTTTGCTGGCACTGAAGTGCGACCGTGGGTGGGCATGCCTATAGAAGAGTGCATGGCCTCCATGAAGTCCCAGGGAGAGGTACGGAAGAGAAGTGGTCTATTTCCGTTTTGACATTGAAGCCCTGGCGGTTAGAGTCTAGGTGCTCTGCGTCGCCGTGCTGGGGGGCGGTATGCACCTTGGACCGCAGAGGAGATGTTTCGTGCCCTCTAAAATCAGCAGTAGCTCTGGGTTTCCTTGAAAGTTTTGCTGCTCTAGTTCGTCATGCTACGTTTGTTGCGCTGGCTGCCCCTCTATGGAAACCTTGACCCCGAAACTGAAACCACAGAGCCCCAAACCCGTAGCCGTAAATCACTTGAGCCAAGGCTGGTCTCTGGAGCCAAGCATTCGCAGGCCCAACTGCAGCGACATTAGGTTTGGGAAAGGTTTCTACGTGTGAGGGGCGGGTATTTCGACAAGGAGAAGATCTGGCAATTGTGCAGGCGATTGCGTGTAGGATTGATATATTCTGCCTTAACGTGTCGCCCTGGCTGGGCACTTGCAACACTTGTACTCGCATTGGCATGATTACGTCTACCGTTCCCTCTGGTAAGGGCCCTCCGTTCCTCCTGGTGCCAAATTCATGTGAAAGCGTCTGGAGAAAGCCCAAACCCTGTTTCCTAACCCCGTTGACCCCGAAGCCATAATCCCGAAACTTTCACCTTTGGTGCTTGGCTCAAGTCGTCTTCTAAGGCTTCGGGTTCTCCAGTAGTGCGCTCAGAGAGGCTGCCGTGTGCTGATCAACCTCGTCCCCGTTTCTTTCACGCTGAGGTAGGGCCCTTTGTTGGATTTGGGGCTCGACACAAGTCCGTCCCAGCAAGGCCGTCCTTCGAAATCCATTGCGGAGCGGTTTGGGCATCATGTCTGTGGCTGAGAGTGGCCTGGGTGGAAGGTTTCAGTTTAATGCCAAGCCTCAACCCGAGCCAAGCGGATTTTGCTGACTATATAGTCAAGCGTCAGGTGTAGAGAGTCGGGTTTCGAGCAATAGTGTCGCGTACCTGAGCTTTCTGCATATCCCCGAATAAGATAATAGTCACGAACTGCCCCATCAAGAGTGGTTCTACCACTTTGCAGTTATTGCACATCTAAGAACCTATGCCCAATCCCAAACATTTGTAGTCTGTCCTTGTTGGTTTAGGGGTCGTTTAGGCGTAACACTGATTATACCTGTTTTGCTAGGTTTAGGCAAATACCCCCGGCAGGTTGACCTGCGAACCTCCTGGAGGCTGCAGCAATGTAAAGGAGGCATGCAAACGGGGGGTGGGGCGTTGTGGGGGATTCAGTGCTTGGGCTTGATTCGTCGAGCTTTTGGGCTGGAGGGCTAGCAAAGAGTTCATTCAGATGCCTCTGATCTTTCTGTCTCGTTAGCGTGACGCATCAGCTTCGCGGTTAGAGTTTAGGCCACATGGTTGTTACGTTAGTGTTGAGACGGCAAGTCGAGCATTGAGGTCAAGGCCAAAACCAAGAGGAGTTACAGCGGAGACCTCCATGCTTCCCTGAACTAGAAGGGGACGTACCCTCAGCCCGCACTTCGCCCTGAGCTTCTAAGCTTGAAAGCCTTCACCCAGGGTTGAGGTTGGCATCCAAAGGCAAGCTTGAGTTACAACAGTCCTCAAGTCGGCCTCCGTGCCAAGGCTCTCCACGAGTGGCTTGAAACCCACTCCACACCTTGATTCTATGGACGATACCTACAATCCAAGTGTCTCAACCACAAACTGTAGGGGCCCTACAACAAAACACCGTGGTAGATTCAGGTGAGATAGGCCCCTTCCTGGAAGGTTGCTGTCCAGAGTTCCGAAGGATTGGTCCTTGAGGGGGTTTGACTCTCGGATTTACGGTGCAGGGTTTAGACCTTTCAGGGTCTAGAGGCAAATCCTCGGCATGATTTTGAGGTGTCGTGTTTACTTCGTGAGTTCAGCAACGGGATTTACTAGAGTTATCACGGCATGTAGCCTCGATTGCACTACTCCTAGCTTCGCTTACAAGTTGAGCGGATCAATTTTCAGGCGGGCTTCCAGAACGATCCATACGAGATAGCCCGGACCAGGAAAATGGAAGGCATTGCTGTTAAGTGGCCTGCTGGACGATCCCGCAATTTGTTTGGAATGGCCTTTGCTGGAAATCTTGGAGAGCGCTGAAGCTCATCGCAGCACGCGCGAACCCCGCAACGGATTTTTCGATCCCCCCTCTCTCTCTCTCTCTCTCTCTCTGCAAGAAGCTGGAGGACGTGGCCCGAGATCTAGGCAATCCCATGGTGGAAGAAGACTCAGAGGCAGGGCCAACCACGAGTGAGTATCTTGACAATGCTGGCCATTGGCTATAAGGTCGCAGATTGAATCCCTGCCCAAGCTTCCCGCTGCTAGTGACACCTTCGTAGCTCCAACGTTCCCCGTAAACCAGCATGCAAACGGGCCTGTATTATTACCTGCACTATCTGGGCAGTTCCTTATTATCAGTATAGCAAAGCGGGCCCCAACACCCTATTCTAAAGACCGTCATGAGTGTTTCCCAGTCGGCTCGGAACTACAAACCTGTTTGTTTCTTGGCCGGGCGGCCCGTCGCGCCAACCCCGTCCGACAGGCGTTTCGTCATTAGATGGCTATCTCATTCGGGGGCGGGGGGCGGAATCAAGCAAGTCAGACTGCCTGGGGAGTGCTGCAGTGTTACAATCGGCAACAGCACCGACATGCATTGTGCTGACGGTTGTTAACCTTGTCACTACACCTGATGGCATCCAGTGCTGTCAATCTTGTGAGTGCTGTCTGCACACTTAGCACCATTACTTTCGGCAATCTTACGCATCTTCTGCACACTGTCAATACACGTAGTCCTCGACGAGAGCACTGTTGGGCTTCACACTGCTATGTCTCAATTTGTTCAGTAGCATCAATGCATCTGCGCGCTACTGTCATATGTCAAACGTGGTCTCTATTCAGCGTCCGGCAACTTCTTAACCTGCCAATGGTACCAGCAAAGCTTGTTGAGTTGCAGGCGCGTGCTCTCACACACCGCACAGCAACGCCAGTCTCAATATGGTTCTGGGCCAACCAATAAGCGGTCTACATTCTACCAGAAGTGCTCTTCTTAGTGTCCATTGTCGTTGGTAGCATCTATGAAGAGTATTAAGCACTTTGGTCGCCGTCCATGATGCTTGGTGGAGGTATGATCAGAAAAGGTTCAGAAATTGAGGTCAAGCTACGATGACTACGAAGGTTCTATGTGCTAACACTAGAAATCGTACCGCTAGAGCCAAAACCATATCTGCAGAATGGCACGACTCACATTTGTTCAAGGCGGTAGTCTCACTCTTATGCTAAACCCTAAACCCCTAAACCCGAAACCGTTTACTGTTGCACCGACACCAAGTGCTGCCCTCGACCTCTGACCGTCTGAAAAAGGCGTTGAGCTAAGACCCTAAAGCCTAAAACTCGCAAGCCTAACAAGGACCAAATTATGTATGTTTTTCAATATTTTCTATCTTAGATCTTTGATATCTAACTCACAATCTTAGCAAGGACGAGAAGCCCTAAACCATTGAATCCAAAAACCCTCAAACGCTTCGCACAGGCCGACGAGTTCGGGCTGCGGATCCCGTGGTCTGACTGTTCTGCGACGACTGGGCCTGAGGTTTTGAAGTTTAGGGTGTAGGGCTTTGGATGTGACCTGTAGTGCTTGCGTTGGTCCAGTCTTCGTCGGGTCCACAAAACTGCTGCGGGTCGGACCGGCCGGGTCATTGTGAGAGAAGTGCATACAAACATCCGAGGCACTATTCTGGCGTACTTCCAGGCAAGATCTTGGCTTCTTGGCATGTGGTCCTATGTCCTACCCCACCTTGCACTGCCCGGGCGCTCGAGCATGGATGCTGGCTCGTTGGAGGCTTCTTCCTTTCTTCGCTTGACAAGGAATGCCGCAGACCTGGAAGCTCAGCAAGTCACAACCAAATACTTGCAGAACATGTGCAGCCTTCCGTGACAAAGTTGGAGGACTGTGTACTACTAGTGAAACTGCCGGTGTCGAACGTGACGAATGTGGCAGGACTGATGCCTAATAAAGCATTGCGTGACAAACAGAAGTGGGCAATGGAGCTCTTCAGACGGAGCATTCCTTTGCGAGGTGTGGTGAGAGCGTTTGTAGAATTGCCATGGCCATGGTAGGGTCAGGCGCGTGGCAGGCACAGGCCACGGCGCTGGTGGAGGAGGGCCGGTGGCAGGAGGCGGAGGGCCTCTTCCGGAAGGCTTTGGAGTCTATGGCCGCGGGCCATGCGGACCGTTTGGTTTGCATGAATGGTCTGGCAGAGGTGCTGCACAAGCGTGGGCAACTGCGAGAGGCGGAGGCGCTGTACCGCCAGGGGCTGGAATCGGAAGTCGAAGGAGTGGAGCCGAGAACCGCAGGGCCGGAGCCTGCGCCCGAGATCTTGCGCAGCTCCAGCGGCCTGGCTGACGTCCTTTTGGACGCCGGTCGGCTCGCGGAGGCGGAGCGTTTGCACAGCAGCGTCCTGGAAGCCCGCCGTGCCGCTCTTGGGGAGGAGCACCCCGACACCCTGCACAGCAAGTGTCGCCTTGCGGAGGCCTGGCGCAAGATGGGCCGTCTGTGTGAGGCTGAGGCTGTTTTTCGGGAGGCTCTGCGGCTTAGGAGAGACAAACTCGGCGAATCCCATGTGGACACGCTCCGCGGCATGTGCGACTTGGGCAACGTTTTGGATGACCTCGGCGAGCTCGCAGAAGCACACCAGCTGCTCCAGAAAGTGCTGCCGGCGATGCAGGAGAAGCTGGGCGAAGACCATGTGGACACCTTGGCGGCCATTCACATGTGCGCCGCAGTGGAAGCTCACGGAGGCAACCTGGAAGTGGCCGAGTCGCTGTTTCAGCAGTCAGTAAAGTTGCGGCGCTTGAAGCTGGGACAGGACCATCCACAAACGATCAGAAGCATCAACGGCCTGGGTGGCATCATGTCCGAACGGGGCAAGCTCGAAGAGGCAGAGGAGCTGTTTCGTGAGGCCTTGCAGGCCATGCGAGCAAAGCTCGGAGAGGACCATCCAGACACCATCAGCAGCGTCAAAAACCTGGGTGCCATCATGTCCGAACGGGGCAAGCTCGAAGAGGCAGAGGGGCTGTATCGCGAGGCCTTGCAGGCTAGGCGAGCAAAGCTCGGAGAGGACCATCCAGACACCATCAGTAGCATCAACAACCTGGCTAATCTCATGAGCGACAGAGGCAAGCTCGAGGAGGCAGAGGACCTGTCTCGTGAGGCCTTGCAGGCCATGCGAGCAAAGCTCGGAGAGGACCATCCAGACACCATCAGCAACATCAACAACCTGGGTGCCATCATGTCCGACCGGGGCAAGCTCGAAGAGGCAGAGGGGCTGTATCGCGAGGCCTTGCAGGCTAGTCGAGCAAAGCTCGGAGAGGACCATCCACACACCATCAGTAGCATCAACAACCTGGCTAATCTCATGAGCGACAGAGGCAAGCTCGAGGAGGCAGAGGACCTGTCTCGTGAGGCCTTGCAGGCCATGCGAGCAAAGCTCGGAGAGGACCATCCAGACACCATCAGCAACATCAACAACCTGGGTGCCATCATGTTCGAACGGGGCAAGCTCGAAGAGGCAGAGGGGCTGCTTCGTGAGGCCTTGCAGGCCAGGCGATCAAAGCAAGGAGAGGACCATCCAGACACCATCACCGCCATCAGCAACTTGGGTGAGGTCAAATACGCGAGGGGAAACCTCGAAGAGGCAGAAGGGCTGTATCGTAAGGCCTTGCCGGCCATGCGATCAAAGCTCGGAGAGGACCATCCAGACACATTGTCCTGTGTCCACAACCTGGCCAGGTGTCTGCAAGAGCAAGGCAAGTGGCAAGAGGCGGAAGATCTCCATCGCCAAGCCTTGCAGGGCATGCAGTTGAAACTCGGTGAAGACCATCCAAAGACGTGGCTGTGTTTGAGCAAGCTTGCAGGAGTCTTGGCCCTTCGTGGCCGGCTTGGAGAGCGATTCCGTGATCCAATGAAGCCAATGAAGACGAAGGACGCAGCAAAGTCTCTGGAGGAAGCCCGCGGACTTTTTGACCATGCGCTCGAATCAATGGCAGCTGGTTACGCCAACGAGGACCATCCGCAGCTGCTGGACTGCCGTGCTGATTTGGCAAAGTTTCTGGCAGAGCACAACATGCTGGAGCAAGCAGAGGCACTTCTCTGTCGTGTGGCGAGCGGAATGGAGAAGCAGTTTGGCCGTGCCCATGCCAAGACGCAGAGATGCTTTTCAGATCTCATACTCATCCTCCATGAGCAGGCGTAGTTGAGGCAGAGGTGGCAAAAGCAAAGACGGAAGAAGCAGATGATGGCGCACAGGTGGGTGCCGAGTCCATGGAGAACCTGTTGCCTTTCCAGCCGGGGGCAGACAGTGTCGCCGACACACGCAGGTTGGAAGAGCGGTTCGAGACGGCTTTGGACCTTCGGGCAGTCTGCCTGGCCGGCACAGACGAGCTCTCTCAGTCTGATGCACCGCCCTTCTCGAAGTCGGACGTGACGTCGGAGGGCGACGTGAGCTGGGCTTTGCTGCAGGCTTGGGCGATCTCCAGAGCTTCGGAGCTACCAAGCCAGTCCAGCACCAGCGACACTGGCAGTGCGGGAGGCCCAAGAAGCTCCGCAAGTTCTTCTGGCCTTTAGAAACGAGGTCAGACGGGGACGCGGGCAGGGATGTGCTTTGTGACGGTTTTGAGAAATTTGCGTCTGCGCTTGTCTGCTCCAGACTTGAAAGCTCCCAGCAGCCGAAGTGCTGGCTGGTGCCTGAAACCCGAAAACGCTGGACACCACAGAAGCTGCAGGGGGAGGCTTGTCCTGTTAAAGAGTGGGCATGTGGTGTTACATGGGGTGGTATTTGTTATTGGTTTCGGGTGTCCTTTTGCTGATTGCTATTGGTGGCTTGTTGCCTTTCTCTTTTGGTTGTGGCCTTTTATTAGTACCACTACTAACTACTACTGGGCTCCACCACCACAACCACTACTACAGCAACACGAGATGGTGCCCAGACGTCTGGTGGAGGAGCTCAGCCTGCGTGCGATGCTATGTCCGATGCTGAATTCAGAATTTCGGAGGGTGGAGCCTCCAAGCGAGAAAGGTCGCGTGCCTAAATCACCTCGACAGGGCCCCGTGCCTCTTGGAGGCTTCGCTCTTGCACGCGGCTCTGTGCATGCCAAGAAAAAGGCGGGCAGGACTGCGTGCTCCCCATTTGCAGCTCAGAATCATTTTGTCAAAGAGCTTGAGCATGTTGACCCGTTTGTCGACATGGGTCAGGCGACACTGACGACCACGCCGCGGGCTCGGCGCTTCGCTTCGTCATGTTCTCACGTGTTTCAGCACTACTGTGCCTCCCGCAGATCTTTGAGCACGGGTCCTTGAGATGTAGGTTCTCAGGGTAGGTTGTGACTTGGGCATGTCGCAGAGCAGCCCCGGCCTGCCCTTGCAACGTTTACAGCCTCGCGATGAAGGTCCGCAGCTCGAAGCGGAAGCGGACAGCGAGACGAAGCCTGTCCAGCAAGCGCAGTGCACTTTTCCTGCTGCATGGCAGTTTTCGGCGGGGCCGTATCCACAGCCCATGCTGGCACCTGCACCGTGCATCTTCGTCCCCGCTGGGCCTCCGGCGGCAGTTGCTTGGATGGGATCTGGGTCCTTTACCGCAGAGCCCCCAGCAGCTGAGCCGGCAATGTTGGCACCTATGCAGACAGGACCCCCAAGAAACTCCCCAGCCATTCTGCTTGACTGGGCAAAGAGGGACCAAGAGCTGCACTGGATTCGACACACCGCTGTCAAGAAACATGACTTCCACGACCCCGCCGACCATGCCGTGCCGAGCGACGGCAACGACACACTTGGCTACGTAGTTGTGAAGCACTTGCGCAGGCATCCCCAACCACAAGAGGAACCTTTGGTAATCGAAAGTCGTGTTTGGCTAAGAGGCACTGGCCGGGAACTGGATCTCCGGCGTTGGGTCTACGCTCAGATCTATTTGCAGGTTTTTGGCATCAGCCTCTTGAGAGAGAAGTGTGTGGATTCGCGTCGCAACCATCTGACCATGCCGGGCGTGCACGAAGGCACAGTGATGGAGTTTCACTTGTCGCTTTTCCTGGAAGCCGAGGCTGGTGAGAACCGCGAGGAGACGATGGACGTCCTTGACGTTGGCAGGTTTTTGAAAGATCCAAGGGACTCGAAGGTGTTGAAACAGGTCTTTACTGGTGCTTCCCTGCGGCTGCGAGGGAAGGAGCGGCATTTCACGGGCCTCGCAGAGTTGGTTTCCCGATACCTGATCCAAGTTCAGAATGCCGGCACGGAGACGGCCTGGAAGAGAGCCGAAAGCACCGGCGGCGACTTCCTGCCAGGCCAGATTTTCGAGTGTCACCTGACGCAACATCTGGTGGGCCCTGGACAGCCGGAGCTTCATGGCAAGCTGGTGACCATGCTGCCCCCGACGGATTGCAATGGAAGTCGCACGTTGGGCCGGGTATGGTCTGCGTGGCTCCGCTGGACAAAGGGAAGCGCCGCATTTGTGCCGTGTCCAGGCTGGACTTGCATCCTATCAGCTACAGCGACGATCTGCCGCGTGGCAAGTACCGGTACAAGGTCCTCATGAAGACCGACGAGACATGGGAAAATGCGATGCCCTGCCGGCTTTGCTTTCGCAGTTTCGGGGTCGGCAAGGTTTGGTGCGAGAAAGCTGATGGGGAAGCTGTAGAGGTAGATCCAAAGGATGTCCGACTAGCCGTCGATCTGAGTTCCATAGGAGAAGCACGGACGCAGGAGGACCAGGATGCGTACACGGTGGCTCCAACCTCACTAGTCTCCGGCCCGGCGCATGCTCCAGCTTCGGGCTAGACTCCACTCGACAGGCATTTCTAAAGAGCCAAAGGCAGCCAGATCCAACCAGGGAACAGTTGTATTATAGTTACATGTGTCTAGGATGTGGCGTTTTGGTGCTGAAGTCGTCCAAGCGGGTGCAGGGTCTATCACAATCCTCTGGGCAGCAAAATGCCGCCCAGCGGTTCTTTCTTTCGCATCTTGCGGTAGCTGCTGTCACAGGAGATGCAGAACGCAAGATATTGATTTGTCATCAGGTGCGACCCATCCCTCTTGATTTCTTTATTCTGAGACACTGTGAATCCCGAACCTAGTCCACTGAAAACCTCACAAGCCGCTGTCTCTTCAGCTGGGCAGTAGCAGATAGCCATATGGGACACCACTTGCATCATCCCTTTTACACTTTTTCTGGGGACTCAACTCCCCACCGCCTCCACTCCCGCAGGCTCCTCTCTTGCCTGGACAGGTCTCGTGCCTTGGGAACTGGATGAAAAGCAAAAGGACCTAGCGCCTCCGACTGAAGCCTCACAAATCTTAATGCATGCCGCTATTTTCTGATGAGATGGCCCGAAATCAAATCTTCCAAAGTATACAATACTTTAGCTGCTTGGGCCGATGTTGCTTGGCATGGCAACATCGATGGTCCTTCACCGAGCTGGAAGACATAGCCATGTCGACTGTGCTGGTGAATGAGATACAGTATCATGCCTTGCACGATGTGATGTCCGAATCAAACAACCTTAAACCCTAAACCCTGACCGCCCGCAAGCCGACAGCTCAGGTCTGACACTCCAAGCCGTCCTCAGAGTATGGCCCGAGCCCAAGCGACGAACAGCCAATGAAGGCTCCTGAAGTGGCGGTTTTTTATAGTTCGACGGGAAGTGCACCGACGTGTGTTGTGCTACATCATTCTCTTCGATGCTCGGTATTGGAATGTAATCGTCTCTATGGGACGTAGTACAACAGAAGACCCAGCAGTCGTAGTCGCAGTCGCAACACACTCACTCCACAGTGAGATTGCAGAAACCGTTCAGCTACTATAGTGCAGTCAGTTGTCCAGGTCCTGCCCCAGACTACAGCGTAGTTGCAAAGTAGCAATACGCTTCATCGACTCATCGCCGCAGCCCCTTGATCGCAAGAGACTGGCCTTTTTTGGGCCTCCCCTGACATGGCTGCCGAGGGAAGCCAAGGCCGGGAGTCCGTTGTCCCGTGGCGACGGCGGCTGCAGCCGTCGCGCTCTTCAGCGCTCCATACATCCGAGTTCGTATGCGGGGATGAAAGCGTGAGACCAGGGATTTGGGAATGGGAATCCGACTGGAAGCAGAGTTTAAGGAGGACGGGCCAGAGTCAAGAGAACCAGAACTTCAGGAGGTGACCTCGGACGGAGTCTAGCTGCCAGCATGTGTTTCACTGAAGTCTTGTTGGCATAGGACAGTATATCGGGCAGAGAAGGTTACAGACCTAAAACGTCCGCGGATGCAGTGCTCAGGTTGAGTAACCATGGGGACCTAAGCCTAGCAGCTTCCAGTGCCGGAGGCAAGCCATCTTTCTCCATCTGGTGGCCCGGCGCTACCTCTCCCATCATTTGGCAGCTGGAGGACCGATCATTCTGCGTCAGTCTGGGAGGATCCAAGTTTGGCATCGAACTTATTGCTCTGCTAGCACTCAGTGTACCGAATCAGTGCTCTAGCGTTCATGGCTTAGGGTCACCCTTTTGGGGCTTTGAAGGCCGCAGAGACAGTGAACCTGAAGAGCGGTCGTCTAGAGTTTACAGCATGGGCACCAAAATCAAGATTCACGTGCAAAGACGGACTTGGAAGGCCTCGAACACACCCGCCGGATGCACAACTCTGCGGTTCTGATCCCTAAGAGGCAACGGCTTTGTGGCCGATTACACGCTTTGATTTCGTCATTTGCGGCATTTTGCACTAATTCAGGTGGGTTCACTCGTTACCTGTGCCCCCTGCTTGAGGCTTCGTTCGTCCCTTCCCAAAAACATGTGTGAAACTTCGAAACTTGTGATAGTCCCACAAGAGGGCTCTGATTTAGCCGCTGACTCCTTGACCCTACACCTACACCTTTCAGGCTTGGAGCATGAATTCCGAGACGTTTGGATTCAACACAACCACAACAACCACAACAAGGAAGGCGGTGCGTCTGCCGCCGCGCGGGGTGTGTCGTTTATGTTTGGGATGATTTTTGGTCAAAAAATAGAAAACCCCGAGTTGTGTGTGGTATTCGTCAACAAGACGATGTATCGGAGTTTCAATTTTTTTATAGTTATTTGTCTTGTGTTTTTGGCCTGGTTGTTGCGGAAGTGTCGCAAATACCATGTTTTTCGTGTTTGATTAATGTTTATGTTCAGACTCATTTTGGAAGTTTTCGTCTGGAAAGCTTCAGAAACGCGAGGTTTTTGTTCATGGTGGACGTTTCCAAAGTGAAGCAACAAGAAACGGCAAGCACGAATGGACAGAGCAACTAATCATGCATAGAAAAGTCGCAGTCGCATGGACGTCATCACCCCCCCCCCCCCCCCCCCCCTCCCACCAATGGACCGGACTGGAACAGAGCAGAAGTAGGGGAACAATAGAAATGGAAAAGAAGAAAAGAAAAAAACAGTCGCATGGACGTCATCATCCCCGCCCCCCCCCCCCTCCTCCCCACTAATGGACCGAACCGGAACAGAGCAGAGGAAGGGGAACGATAGAAACAGAAAAGAAAAGTCGCCAGAGCAGAGCACCCCCAAGCCGGCATGCGCACAAAGTCGAAATTCGGCAGAAACACTGCAAAAGCCGATGCGAAATGGGAGACAGAGAGGAGAACACAGACAAAAAACGAGGCGAAATGCAGAGCCGAACATGTGTTTGCACACTGCAGCCCGCCGGCGGAGTCACTTTTCTTTGCTAGAAAACACCGCAAACAAACTATGCGAAAGCAAAAGCAAAGTTCAACCTCGGTGACGAAAGTGCCAAAACTCGAGTTTCAGCGCATGCCAGCAGAGGAATTGCACCACCCCGCGCGGCGGCAGATGCACCGCTAACCAACAACAACGGCGTCGTTGTTGGTTAGCGGTGCATTTGCCGCCGCGCGGGGTGGTGCAATTCCGCTGCTGGCATGCGGGAACCGAACTTCGAGCCCAACACCCCGGCAACAAATCGTACATCTTAGCACTGGGGCCTACTGCCAGCCCCAAACAAAAGCGTACATATTGGCACTGGGGCCTACTGCCAGCCCCAAACAGCGGCAACAAATCGCACATCTTAGCGCTCGGGCCTACTGCCAGCCCCAAACACTGGCAACAAATCGAACATCTTAGCACTGGGGCCTACTGCCGGCCCCAAGCACCGGCAATACATCGTACATCTTAGCACTGGGCCTACTGCCAGCCCCAAACACCGGCAACAAATCGTACATCTTAGCACTAATGCCTACTGCCTGCCGCAAACACCGGCAACAAATCGTACATCTTAGCACTGGAGCCTACTGCCAGCCCCAAACAGCAGCAACAAATCGTACATCTTTGCACTGGGGCCTACTGCCAGCCGCAAACACCGGCAATACATCGTACATCTTAGCACTGGGCCCCACTCTGAGCCCAAGACACCGGCAACAAATCGTACATCTTAGCACGGGTGCCTACTGCCTGCCGCAAACACCGGCAACAAATCGTACATCTTAGCACTGGAGCCTACTGCCAGCCCCAAACACCGGCAACAAACCGTACATATTGGCAATGGGGCCTACAGCCAGCCCAGCACTAAGATGTACGTGCCTTGGGCTCCAAGTGGGGCCCGGTGCTAAGATGTACGATCTGTTGACGGTGTCTTGGGCTCGGAGTGGGACCCAGTGCTAAGATGTACGATTTGTTGCCAGTGTCGTGGGCTCGAAGGTACGATTTGTTGGCGGTGTCTTGGGCTTGAAGTGGGGCCCAGTGCTAAGATGTACGATTTGTTGCCGGTGTCTTGGGCTCGAAGTGGGGCCCGGTGCTAAGATGTACGATTCTTGTTGCCGGTGTCTTGGGCTCGAAGTGGGGCCCAGTGCTAAGATGTGCGATTTGTTGCCGGTGTCTTGGGCTCGAAGTGGGGCCCAGTGCCAAGATGTACGATTTGTGGCCGGTGTCTTGGGCTCGAAGTGGGGCCCAGTGCTAAGATGTACGATTTGTTGCCGGTGTCTTGGGCTCGAAGTGGGGCCAGTGCTAAGATGTACGATTTGTTGCCGGTGTCTTGGGCTCGAAGTGGGGCCCCGTGCCACGATGTACGATTTGTTGCCGGCGTCTTGGCTCGAAGTGGGGCCCAGTGCTAAGATGTACGATTTGTTACCGGTGTTTTGGGCTCGAAGTGGGGCCCAGTGCTAAGATGTACGATTTGTTGCCGGCGTCTTGGGCTCGAAGTGGGGCCCAATGCTAAGACGTACGATTTGTTGCCGGTGTCTTGGGCTCGAAGTGGGGCCCAGTGCTAAGATGTACGATTTGTTGCCGGTGTCTTGGGCTCGAAGTGGGGCCCAGTGCTAAGATGTACGATTTGTTCCCGGTGTCTTGGGCTCGAAGTGGGGCCCAGTGCTAAGATGTACGATTTGTTGCCGGTATGTTGGGCTCGAAGTGGGGCCCAGTGCTAAGATGTACGATTTGTTGCCGGTGTCTTGGGCTCGAAGTGGGGCCCAGTGCTAAGATGTACGATTTGTTACCGGTGTCTTGGGCTCGAAGTGGGGCCCAGTGCTAAGATGTACGATTTGTTGCCGGTGTCTTGGGCTCGAAGTGGGACCCAGTGCTAAGATGTACGATTTGTTGCCGGTGTCTTGGGCTCGACGTGGGGCCCAGTGCCAAGATGTACGATTTGTTGCCGAAGTGGGCCCCAGTGCTAAGATGTACGATTTGTTGCCGGCGTCTTGGGCTCGAAGTGGGGCCCAGCGCTAAGATGTACGACTTTTTGCTGGTGTATTGGGCTTGAAGTGGGGCCCAGCGTTAAGATCTACAGTTTGTTGCCAGTGTTTTGGGCTCGAAGTTGGGCCCAGTGCCAAGATTTACGAGTTGTTGCCGGTGTCGTGGGCTCGAAGTGGGGCCCAGTGCCAGGATGTACCATTTGTCGCCAGTGTCTTGGGCTCGAAGTGGGCCCCTGTGCTAAGATGTACGATTGGTTGCCGGTGTCTTGGGCTCGAACTGGCGGCCAATGCTAAGATGTACGATTTGTTGCCGGTGTCTTGGGTGGGGCTCAGTGCTAAATTGTGCGATTTGCTGCCGAGGTCTTAGGCTCGAAGTGGGACCCAGTGCTAAGATGTTCGATTTGCTGCCAGTGTCTACGGCTCGAAGTGGGGCCCAGTACCAAAATGTACGACTTGTTGCCGGTGTCTTGGGCTCGAAGTTGGGCCCCAGTGCTAAGATGTACGATTTGTTGCCGGTGTCTTGGGTTCGAATTGGCGCCTGGTGCTAAGATGTACGATTGTCTTGGGCTCGAAGTGGGGCCCAGTGCTAAGATGTACGATTTGTTGCCGGTGTCTTGGGCTCGAAGTTGGGCCCCAGTTCTGAGTGGCAGCCCTTGAATACACTGCCAAGCCTAAACCAGAAGACCATGAAGCCAAGCTATGTTTCGGAATCCCTAAATGTAGACCCCCGGGGTTTAACATGAAGCATGGAATGGGACATGGGAACAGCATGGGCACGCCCAGAACCTGCAAGATGGGAAATTTCAATCCCAAAACTAGCAACGGCATGGAAGCGAAAAGAATGGAGGCGTGGGACGACTTACAACCTATGGTTCGTGCCAGACGCCCAATCCCCAAACGTGGAGAGGGAGGTTTTTCCATGCAACAAAGGATCTCAGAGATGGTGAGTGTTGTGTCTAATTCATATTGCCCGCCCAAAAGACAGGCGAGTTGGTTCAGAACTCAAGCAAGCCCAACCCTGTATGGGAATGCAGGCCCCAACGGGCGCCATTCGCCACTGAAGCCACAGGAAACTTCTTACTAGTTCAGTTTGCTCCTTCACTGAGTTGGGTGTGCTACCCCATCTCCAGAGGATGATCTGGGTATCAGAAGCCTTCCCGACATTTGGTCCGGTGCCGAGCTGCGCGAGCAACTCGCTGCCGAGCTGCAGGAGGGGCGAGCGGTAGATGCGATGCGAGAGTAGCCTAACCACACTAGGCTGTGCTGCTCTGCGCGGCACGCAGTACTGTTGGCTTCGGTGCTACACTATACAAAACTTGGATCTGACCGATTACTCTACTCTGCTACGCTATAGTACTAGTTGTAATGAAACGGTATGACAGTAGCAAAGTATGCTCTACTAGACTATACTGCTGCAGTGATCCAAAAATGAAATGACCTAAAATACCCGCAGCAAGAGGTGATCGTGAGCTTGGTGCGACTAAGCGCGACCCTCGCATTCCTTCTCCTTAAGGGTGGTTCGGTTGCGGTCTAGGGTTTTCTGAAGGAACTCAGGAACTCATTGATCCCGATGTTTCAATTTTCGGCAAAGGTAACGTTTGCGGGCGTCAAGCAACACACCAAAGGTTGGATGCAGTGAGGCTCACAGGAATTCGAGTTCCAAGCTTTTGGTATGTGTGAACTGTTGGGCAGAACACCATGCGACCGAAGCGTATCATAGCAACAGAGCCACAGTTTTGGCCATGAGCTGTAGAGTTTGCTTCGCGCTGCAAAGGACGCCCACGAAGAAGCCGTCATTGACCCCGAGTCGGTGCGGGAGATCCGCTGGCGCACAGCGACCGGGGAAGATGTGATGGTCGAGGCCGTGGCGCCAGTGAACTTCTAGGTGGTGTTCGGGTGTGGGTTTGAGGTCGAATTTAGATTCAGAATATTGAAGTCTAATAGACTTACTCCAAGGCTCATGTTCAAGCGTAGTGCTGCTGATCTTCACGTCTCTTTTTCTGAGTTGAGGGCTCGTAGGAGAGTGTTCAGGATACAGGTAGACTCATACCGTCCATGACATCCGCAGAGAGTCTCACGGCCCAAAGGTGGAAAAGCAAACGCGGGCGTTTGCATCTGGCGCTGCGAAGAGTATTTTACAAGCCGGGTACACTTGCGAGCGCAGTTCCGAGGGGACGGTTCAAGGGTGGGCAGAACTGGAAGCTCTATGTGGCTATACTCGCATCCGGCCTCACAAATGTGCGGCAGGCAAAAGAAGGAAGGTATACGATCGACAAGATAGATATCTCCAGTAATGTATGCAGTATGTTCTAGTGAGCAGCAGTAACAGATCGGAAGGCAGAAATCTCAGTTACTGTTTCAAGGTGCAACTGTGTGGCATAATATTTAGGACACCATGGGATTCAAGACCTGCATATTGTTGCAAGTATATTTGTAGCAGGATGAGCACCGTCTGTCTGACGAGGAGCTTCGGACCAGACGGGTTGAGCAACTGCAAAAATGGGGCTTGTCGTCACGACAGAGTTTTTCTAGGGCTGAGGCTTGACTCTGCTCGAACCTGGAGCAAAAGCAAGAGGTTGTTCATCCCCAAAATCCCTGCATCCCACATTTGTGCCCCGTAAGGAGCTCCACTTCTCTCGAGTGCACGTTCACTTGCAGTTCCAGTCAGCGGAGGATCTGCTGCAGCAATGCAAGGCATCAATGCTGCGCGTTCATCCTCTCCTTCAAGCCCACCTTACGGCAAGATTGCACTTCCAAACCGTGCATGCTGGACTGCGAAGCCGTGGACCAAGAGCCGTAAACGCCCATGCAGGTGACATACCCTGCGCTCATTCCGGTGCTCGATGCCTTGACCGAGCTGGACGGGCTGTGGACGGTAAAGGGCCCGGGTTTTTTTTGTCGATGCTGTGCTATATTGCCGCGAAATATCCATTAACACTATAAACGTGGCTATATGGTACACGGCTTTTACATTAAAAGGTTAACATGAAGAGGGTGGGGTTGAGTTTTGGTTTCAGGGGTAGGGATGACGGCAGTCCATTGTAAAACTGCAAATTAAGAATATACACAGATAGAGAGAGATTAGCAATGCTATACTGGTAAAACCTCGTTTACGTAACCTAGGGTACCCACAGCCCATTCGTCATTACATGCTATGACTGCCCTCAAACCCTGGACTCAACAGAGAAGGATGTCGTTGGTGCCAAGCGGGTGTTTGGAGTTTAGGGCGCATAGTATCCTCGAGCATACCATCGTTGCACAGCGATATACACTAGTACTTTGTTCGATTGCATGCTATGTCATACCTTATGCGCTTAGGGTTTAGGATGTGCGCGTCCAGCGAGGTCGACGGAGGACTGCGCACCGCGGCGGAGCTCCGGGGGATCCTGGCCTTGTTCCTCGGGAAGAGTCTTCAAAGATTAGGGTTTACATGTTTTGATAGACGGGAGTGGTTGGAGGATTTCAGTGGACTTTCAGGATGTGCGCTTTGGCTTTCGTTGAGAGATTCGAGAAAATCGTGTTTTGAAGGGTTTAGGAATAGGTTTAGAAGTTTTAGGGATGCATCCCAATGAATGGGCGATTTCCTGCAACATACTACAGCACATAGACTCTAAGCCTGAAGCCGGAGGCTCATGCGTGCCATGGAACGGCATCGGCATGCAGTGACCGGGGATCCTGTGCCTCTCACCTGGTGCATGTTGGGAGCCTGAGCACTGCACAGCGCCGTATGCTATGTTGCAGTCTAGTGTTAGGGGTATAGTAGACTATTGCTGTTCAATGCCTGGGAGCATAGTGCGTTACATAGTATCATGGGATATGATAGTAGACGCCTGCCCGTATTTACAGTATGCTACAGTCGTATATTACAGTGGACCATAATATACTTTAGTGGATGTACGCTAGGCTACACGATGGCACTGTAGTAGACAGCGGTGTACTATACTGGCTTCGGTATGCATGGACTGCGATGCTTAGCGCCCAGCAAGAGATCTGCACAGTTGCGGAAGATTTAAGGGCCTTTGCGTGAAGCGCGTTGGCAATTCCCCACAACCTCAAACCCTTTCTATTGCTATAGGTCGGTGTGCCTCGCTGATGTGAGTGTTGTTCGATGCAAACTTTAGGGCGCAGGAGTTTGGACCAATTTAGGGGAAGGGGGATTCTACGATGGTCTACTAAACCTTACATACCACTCACTATGACATCATACTAATTACCCTTGGGACACTGTATCTGGCATCGTTTTACAGGAGTATATATCCTGATTCAGCGCATTGTACTGCGTAGTGGTACAGTATCAAAGGAAACTGGCGCGCCGTGTAGTTTCACACCCTTGAACCCCAAACCACAAGTAGATATGGACCTTGGTATAATATCATATTATACTGTATAGTCGAGTCTACTGTACAGCAATGTCGAGTCATACTGTCTTCTAGGTAGTCGTAGTACCACACTTGCTTTGAGTCAAGTTAGGGAGGACTCAGAGGGGGCAAATCCTCGGCATACGCTAAAAGGAGAAGCACTGGGCCTTCCGGTCTAGGTTTTTGATTTAGACTGTGGGGGGGGGGGGGGGGGGGGGGGGGGTCAAAATTGTCTTGGGCTGGGTTCTAGCATCTACGGGTCTTGGATTCATGGCTTTCGTGTCGGGGCTTCGGGCCTGGGCCTAGTATGCCGAGGCGTTGGTTCCAGGGAGAGTAGGTTTGCATCTGTGACGTTCTGCTCCAATCTTCTTTTCTCCCAAGGGAACGATGACAGTCCTAGGCAGCGCTAGTTTCTCCTGTCTCTAGACGTTCGCCCACGGACGATGGAACACCACTCACGTTCAAGCATCCCTGTCCCCATCTCAAGAAGCATCTCTGAAGCTGAGGCAACTGCAGGGTGTCGGCTCGCCCTTGAACTTGTGGGCTTAGTGGTACAGTTTGTTTTCTACGAGTCCAGCCGGACGTGACGAGATGGATGTAATCTAGTATACCTGCAGTATGGCATTGTAGAGTATCGTGCAGCATAGCGACACTGTGGTATGCTGGTGCAGCTCAAAGGGGTCCTTGAGTCATTGAGGGTGTTGTAGCGGCGCGCAAGGAATAGCTAGGAGCTCTAAACTTCACATCGTTCCGTCTTTCTCAGGCACAGCACTGTTTGACAAGTGTATTTCCCGCCATGACACTCTGCTTTGGGCATCGGAGAACTCGCGGTTTTGTCGAGTGGAAGTGTTTTGGATTCTTGCGAGGATTTTCATTAAATGTGCATCCTGGAGGCACCAAATCGAACCATGTGCGTTCTTGCTGAGACTTGTGAGACACGAATGCCCAGCTTTCGAGAGACGCCCTTGTTTTAGGTCCTCGTGCCTTCGTTCCGCGGAAGAGCTCGCTGAGCAAGGGAACAAAAATCGCGGGAGGGCATCAGTGCATCTTTCTGAACATGGCGTCAACACCCAAGACGTGCAGGGTTGTTCGGGTTTGGTGGAGTCGACCCCAATGATTTCAATGCAGGGGTTGTGCCGGTAGGCTCGGGGGCCTGAGACCTAGGCGTTTAGATGTTTTCAGGTTACACGGAGACACAAACCTGAACACTCGTAGCCCGCCTTCTTCAAAACTCTCGCAGTTTCCGAACTTGCCGTTATATGTTGGGTGATTGACAAAACGGCGGGGGTACCCTTCAAACCTTAAATGCTCAGAGCCCTGAAGTCCCAAAGCCTGGAACCAAACAATTCTAAGGCTCTGCCCGGTCAAAGCCTTCCTGAAACTCGAAGCTTCCCCAACTCGTAGATCCCAACAGCAGAAGCTCCTTCAACGCATTCCAAGGATCGCCAAGGAGAAGCACAGGTGAGGAAGTCAGAAGCAGAACTTTGCAAAACCAATCGGCACAAAGAGGCCAACCCGACATCCAGTAGAGGACGAACTGTGTGAAAAGTTTCGGGTGCAAGGGCGTGTGATGCTGTACCGGCTTGTTCGCACCGTTTGCTGCAAGAAGCCTATTTAAGTATCTATGAAAGCCTAGGGCCTGTAGCAGGAACGGCCACGCCCTGAATCAAACCTCAAGTGGTTTGGTTTCAGCCAAGCTGCACCGCAAGGCATCTACAAGTGGGCTCCCTCCTGCCTTTGGGTCTTGAGGGTTAAAGAAGTTAGGGTTTAGAGTTTTCAGGTCCTATTTGGGGCAACGAAAGGGGATTTCGATGTTGGCTCCAGTTAGCCGTGTCGCATACCAGCTCGATCCCGCGAGTAACCGCCGAAACCATCATTCTGCGAGCCCAAACCCACAGCTTTGGCTGTACAGCCTTAAGCTGCTCGTGAACGCTGAGCTAACATCCCTCAACTTCGCACAGCTTAACTCAGGCTTTGTTTCGTTTGGTTCGGGCAGAGTGCGCCAGTGTAGTGACGGCGATTTTGAAGCGCATGGCCTTCAAGATGCTCGGCGGGGCAGGCCGGACTAGGGTCCCAGGGTGCCACAGAATCTCACTCCGCGATCTTCTTCACTCTTGCAAAAGCCGCGTTGCGGGTCCCTGCAGTTCCGAGCCGCCCCGGGGTTGGATGCTTGCAGGCAGCTTTGTCCCGAGAGAAAGTTTCGGAACAGCCATGACAGGACCCTCGAAAGCAAACCCCCCAAAACCCCTACCTCATGAAACCTGCACATGCATGGCTGGCAGGCCATCGTTCTTCGTCCTCACTGGATGCAACGGAGGCACCAGGGACATGGTTTGCTCAGAGTTGTTGTGTGAGGTTTTGTTTGGGCCTTCTTACTTTCCTTTTTTGTTTGGGAAGTTTACGGCCTCAGGAGTCGGAGCTGGAGATGCGACCGCGCGTGGTTGGTAGACTTGGTGTCATGGTTCTAGGACCTGGGAGCTTCTCTATGCCGATCTGTGATTGGTTTCTTTCAGTTTGGTCGAACAGGTCTTGCGAAGGTGTTTGAGGGAGTCGCAGGGCCTACCTTAACCCGGACTAGCCTACTTTTATCTATAAGGAAATCATAACAAGGAACCCTAGCCCTAAAAAGGTAGGTTATTCAGGGTCAAGGTAGTCAAACTCAAACCAAAATGAATTCCTGCGGACACATCGTGGTGACCAAGTGTTGTCGGAGGCGAAGACCTTGCAAGACCCCTACGCCGTACGCCCGAGGCACTTATCCAAAGGCTAGTGTTCGCATAGAACAGTAGACCAGTTTCCACAGCTCGTCGTAGAAGTCGAAGATAGCGTGTGCGACTTCAAAGAGCCACCAGCAGAATTTGTCAATGTTACGAGCAAGTAGAGCGGTAGCGCTAGCTGCTGCAAAGCAGTTTGAAACATGTGACAGAATGCATCTGTACTTCCTCAGGTGACCCAGATGATTCCTGGTTGAGGCTTGGTCCCGCGCTGCTACTTATCCAACGGTTGACTGCCGGTCGGTAGACTTCAGAGGACATCCCGGGCCATGACGAGCACGCCAGTTTGCAGCCATCGCAGGGTGCAGCAAGCGCTCCAAGTCAGCACGGCATTTAGCACCAGGACTTATCTCGGCCAGGTGCAGAAGGTGCAAAAGAGAGGCAACACTCCGGCGGCGCCTGAGTCTTTGCGTGATGTGCGTGAGAGGCGTCGTCGCTGGATTCCACAGCCGCCCATGCCATGACATTTGCGAGATTTGCAAGCGGTCGCTGAACATCGTGACGTGACACTTGCAGCTTGACATGACATGGGAGATGTCATTCTTAGTGATTGACTTGTCGATTGACCGGTCGAGGCTGAGTAGTGTTCCATGCTTCTGGGGAGCAGTGCACCAACATTCCGTGGGACAGCCGTCGCTGTCTCTATTGCCTCTGTGTCAAACACCGTGCCATGGGCTTGTACACGTGTCGCCTTTGCGTGGCAGCTTGCTTGTTGGTGTTGGTGTTAGTTAAAGTTAGTTGTGCGATCTGGTTCCATGAACGGCCAGTTTTTCTGAGGGTCTCGTGGCCGACTTTAGGTTCTCAAAGCTTGCTTGCTCTTCAGCGATGACCATCGCTTTCAGCTTGGAAGCAGAGCCAGCACGCCGCTGTAGCACCGTGCGGGCGTGATGAGTCATAGAACTTAAGGCAGGCCTAAAGTCTGGCCGAAGGGCTCCCGCTCTTGCTGACAGCGCACTGGTAGCGAATCGCTTCCGCCTTAGGGCCTTTCAGGTCTTCACCTGGACTTGGAGGTGTGGACTTTGGACTTGAGAGCTTCTGGCTTGCCTCGTGCGAGGCATTGCCATTTCAAGCGCTTCCACTAGCGAGCCCCTGCTTCTCTAAGACACGGCAGTGCACACTGCTTTTCTGGCAGGAGGTATGTGCATGACTGGCCAAAACTTCATGAGTTCCCTCACATGGCTGCACAGTAGGAGTAGATGAGTAGCTATTTTTTGAAGACTGCCGGCTTTGCACATCGTAGCTTTGCACAGCTCAGGGCACTCGCCTGATGCTCTCTGCAAAGGATGCAAAGGGAGATTAAGACTATGACATGTCCTTTCGGGGGCTGTTTGCAAGTACTTCAGCATCCCATTCTATCCCAGCACATCCCAGTATATCCTAGGCAGCGGCCCAAGAAGCCAGCAAGACATCAATGGTTTCTCAAAGCTGAGTTCTGGACCAGCTCTTGGCGCCTGAGCCAGGTTGCTGCAAGTGTTTCTACGCGGCCGGTTGGTGTATTCCGGAGCTTCGATCAGCACACACAGTGTCAGCCTGGGCTCATGGTTGACTTGTCCTGATCCTGCCTTACGACTTTCGCCAGCCTTGATTCGCATGTGCGACCGGTTCCTGCTGTCTTTCATGCGTTCGATCCGCAAGATGCAGGGCGATTGAGGCGCAGTGCTCCCTCGGTGTGCAGCGACTTACGGGGCAATTGCTTCGTCCGCATCGGAACATCCCTGCTCAGTTGGTCTCGTGGCGAAAGTCTCAAGAGCAACAAGCCTCACCTTCAGCCGCCTGTCGGCAATCGTCCCAAGTCAGGATGCCGCCATGTTGCCGTGAGGCTTCGCCAAGCTGGGCTGAAAGCGCTGAAGGCTTTATGCTAGCCGGATCTCCTGGCGTGTGTTCGCGTCTCCGGTCCTGCGCAGCTTTTCGCAGGTGCTGAGGTCCCCTGCGATGTTGAGAAAGCGCTTCTCCATCAACTGTGGTCGTTGAGTAAGCTACATGACGTCCTGGCTTGCAGTCACTCTAAGGTTGCGTGGATTGACTCGTGTGACGGATGCATGATTTGCACCATTATGCAACACCGCGTTCGCCAGTCGCCCAGGTTCAAAGTTAAAAGAATCACGGGGTTCCAATCGCGTTGATGAGACCTCATGCTTGTCTCTCTCGGCAGCCCAAGCTGTCGATATCCCCACTCATGGGGTTGGCGTAGGGCAGCAAGCAAGCAACATACACAAAACAGTCGATCCCCACGGCGTTACCGCAACTACCTCATTATCAGTTGCAGCTGCATCTTCGTCTTGTTATCGGGTGCCAACCCTGATGTGTTGACATGTCAAGCATTGCTTGCGTTGGTTCGGCTTGGCTCGGTTGTGTCTGGGCCACAGCATGTCTGAGGTTCCCGAAGTCGCAAACGACACGTGTGTGCCAGAAAAGTCGAGAGACCCTGCGTTCTCTTGTCCCTGCATAAAGCCTCACCGGCACGTGCAAGCTGTTCTCCGGTCCGCCCCTGAACTTGCAGCCCCGCTGGATTCCATGTTTCCGTTTTGGACTTGCGCTGCTCGACTGCAGAGTGAAGTCATGCCGTAATCTTTCAGACGCTGCTCGCAGTTGCTGACAAGTTGGGTAAATGTCCGGCCGTGTTAGCAAGATACAGGAGGTGTTTTGGACTGCCAGGATAACTCTGACCTGGCCCTGGATTCCCAGTGGCCACAAGTTGGCCAGCTGCAAACTTGCGAAGCTTGCGAAGCATCAAGCGAAGACGCGGCCGCGCGCCGAGACAACTTTCCACACGTTGGTTTGCCATGCTGCCGGGCTTTGCGGGGCAACTGCAAGTTGACGCGTTAATGTGTCAAGAGCTGCTTGCTCGAGACGGCTGGTCAGTCTTGGTTTTGGACCCCTACACTGCCATAGAATGTCAGCGAGCATTAGAGCCTCGATTGAGGAGCGACTTGCCGGGTTCTAGGGAGTTCACAGCACGGGTCAATATAGCCGTAACCCAAGCAACAGCAAGCCGTTGAACAGGCTATGAGTCGAACGACTCATAAGCATTCCTTGCCAAGAAATGGCAGTTGATGGCTCGATGCCGCAGCTGCAGACGTTGCAAACTTTCCAGCCCCAGATGTGCCTGGGGAGGCTGACTGTGAAGGTCTCATGAACGCGTTCTGTCGCCGATTGTTCCAACACCGCATCTTGACAGAGAGGAGTTTTTCCCGGCGTGTGTTGAAGACAAAACATCTCGTCTGCACCCTAGGAATTGGGATATAAGAGGGCGAAATGATTGCGAAATGCGGCGGAAGTCATTCTGTCAATTGCAGAGTCTGATGGCAAGGAGCGCCCCGCGGCGCATCCCAGGGCGCCTCCTTTGAGCCTCCTCCTCCTCACCATCTTCACCGTCTTCGTCTGCGAGGAGGCCTTGGAGCATCCGGCGGGTGGCGCGGTTCCGGAGCTTCCCATGCTTCCTGCTCAAAACGGAGCTCAGAGGTTCCTCTGGAGGCTTTGCTTTTCTCGAGACGGCTAGGCAGCGGAGGCTAGGCTGCTAGCAGCTGGAACTGGATCAGAGCACACCTTGCATCGCATGTCGGATCCAAAGGTCGAAGCCTTCTAAGGTGAGAGTGCTGCCAGCCTCAGAGAGAAACAGCCTTCATGTGGCAACCCTCGGGCCTCCGTCCGAGTCCTGTCTGTGCTGACTTTCCTTCTTCCTCTCGTAGTC